TGACAATAGTATCAAGAAATTCTTTACCGATGAAGGCCAAGAATTCAAAAGTATAACACTTGTGTCAGCAGTATTCTGGTGTGAAAGAAAACTATAGGCTCACTATCGTTTCCATTCCCATTTTATTTGGAAATCTTGTCCATTAGTCCTCGTTCTCCTTTCGAGATTCATGGATATCGGACACAGTGGTAGTGCTCAAACTATGGTATTATCAACCTAACGAAGGCTCTTGAATTCCTCGAAGCCAGTCCATCCAATGAAGATGGTTTAACGGCGAAAAGCACCATAAAAATCGACCAAGAAGCTCTGCTGAGTTACGATACAGCTGTATTTGGTTATCAGCGACACAGTACTGTTTCTTAATGAAATGATTCCGCGCCAAAGGTAGCCACGCGAACTATTGTCGGTTATGCTGCCGTGAGAGTAGCGTACCGACAGCACGAAGGCTACCAATTTGGCCCCCTATTTGCGGATTCTGATAGCTGTAAAAGTGCTATTTAAAAGCATTTTTTGAAGATATTATCTCCCGTGGACTCTCTTCAGTCTTCCAAATCTGTTATCATTGATTTTCCCATTGAAAGGAACCAGTCGCGCGTTGTAAAGCTAATGGAGCTCCACGGCATAGATACAAGAAATAATTTAGTGTTTATTACAGAAGGTGTTCCTCGTGGTTATTTTGATAAATGGTTTGGCATTACATCGCCAATTATTGGATGAGCTTAAGCTAACTCTCTGGAAAAATAGGTATAAAACATAGACAGGGTAATAGTATTTGGTGGAAAAGAACAAAAAATTCATCTTAATTGAGTCGTCTTTGTGCTACTTGTGTATTAGTTCTTTGTAAGATTGATTTTAATTAATTTTAGTCGGCATCAGAGTGGGAAACACAAGCAGAATCAGTACGAAAAGCTTCTGACGTGACTGTACTGTTGAGAGTGTTGTGGTTGGCTGTTCACCTCGGATTTCACCTGATCATTTGAAATGACCCAATAGTAAACCAAGACTGGTGCATGAATGCCCTTGTTGTCGATCTATCTAAATATACACTTACCAGCACACTGTTTGCCATCTTCTTTAAAGCCAGCGTTACATATGCATTGCTGCATGGCGTTACAGTGGGCGTTAGAGTTACACTTTTGTCCATTACACTTTCCATTCACTAAGCACAAAAAAAAATACATTAATCTTTATACGCGCTGTTAGCGTGTACGCTACGCACGGTTTTCGTTAACGCGCACGTTTTTCTGAAGAGCCTGTGAGCAGGATCGTGAGCAGATTAACGCGAAAAACCTATAGTTTTACTTAAGCATATCCCGCACTCTGTAGCCTTAAAATTTGTATTGTGTGGCATTGAAGCAGAGATTGTGCCTAACTACGCACGCATATGACATGTATGATTAAATATTTTATGTCAATAGACTTCTGAACCTTTTACGTCACTACTTGATTTACAATGCATTGTGGGATCAGTTTCTAGAGAAAACAAAAGAAATCCGCCATGTTTTGTCCCGAACATCCTACAATGCATTGCGTATACGGTACATGACGTAAAAGCTTCAAGGTCTATTCTTAACCTACCGACACATTTTCCTTTTTCCATTACGTATCCTCTCTTGCACAGGCACTCGTAACTCCCAAGTGTGTTACGGCACATTGCGTTACTGTCACACGTTTTAAGTAACGGTATACATTCATTGAAATCTGCGAACATAACAACCACGTTTGAATAAAGCTATGATTTCAACTGTACTCCTAATATATCCGTCATGGACCTCAGTTGCAAGCGCACTTGGGAAGATGACGTCATACGATGTTCACCGAGATGCAGTATGGGATTGACAAAAAAAAGTGAAGCCACGAGTTTTTGTTTTTAACAAAAGACTTCTGAACCTTTTACGTCACTACGTGATCTTTAATGCATTGTGGGATCAGTTTGTAGATAAAACAAAAGAAATCCGCGGCCATGTTCTGTTCCCAACATGTCCTACAATGCATTGCGTATACGGTAAATGACTGAAAAGTTCTATAAGCATCCCTTTTTTCCACAGCAGGTCTTTGGGTATACTCTAGATTCCTTAATTCCAGCTATTGATCTTGCATGCTATGCTTGACAACGGATAACTTGGATTTTGAGAAACAAATGCCTTCCTTCCTAGTTTTTATACGGTATCCGCCATTTTGATAGTCAATACCATAATGCATTTCGTCAAAGCAAACATGACGTCATCACAAAGAGAAGACCSTTGCAATTTTCTTTATTTCGCGCTTTATTAAAAGAAAATGGCTAAAGTTGCAAATAGAAATTCTTACCAGCACATTGTACTCCGTCACCRCGAAATCCAAGTCTGCATTTACAGTACARCTTGTTAGATGCAGGATTCTTCTCACAAGTTGCAAATCGATGGCATCTTTCGCCTCCACAGTAATCTAAGTCTGTAAAAGTAAGTAAATGTTTAATGAATTTGAGCAAAACAAACTAACTATACCAAGAAATACCGACAAATCAATCAAGTGTTAAGAAACCCACCAATKTATTAAAGATTAAATCAATTCATCAGTTTGCAGTCGTACTCAACCAACAAACCAACGAATCAATCAGTCAATCAATCAAGTAATCTATCAATTTTCAAATCAATCAATATATATGTTATTTACCGGCTGGGCTGCCCGAGGTCTTGACAGTACTGAACAAGCGCAGCGAGGTCCGTACATAAAAGACCAAGGGCAGTGCTTTTCTATACGGACCGACCTATAGCCGGTAAATAACATTTTTATTTATTTTTATTTTTATTTTTTTGTATTTTATGCAACTTTGCACGAAGCCGTAGCTGCAGGATACCGTGGACCGGGCAGATCGTGAAAAACCGGACCGCGCACTAGCCAATCACAGCGCGCGAATGACTAGGATTACCGGACCAAAAAAAAAATAAAAGCCAATAATCAGACAGTCAGTCAATCGGCCAACAAACCTACTACAACTCAACAAACCAATCAATCAACCAATCTATCTATCTATCAACCTATCAATCAATCATTCGAATGATGAAATAATCAATATATTAATCAAGTGATAATGACTTACCTTTCTCGCATTTATAGCCATCACCTTTGTAGCCGTCCTTACATTCACATCCATACGTACCAACACTATTCAGACATACAGCATTAGGATCACAACTGTTGTTCTTCGTTTCGCACTCATTCTCATCTGAAATAATAAGAAAAGAAATCTTATTTTACAAATAGGTGCCAGGGTTAAGGCCTCGTCCATACTGATGACTTTTTATGGTGTTTTTGCTTGATTGTTCTTCTTTTCAAATTGCCAAAAATCAAGGAAAAAACAATGAAAAAGGACGACAAAAACCAATCAATATCTACAGTCTATAAAGCGACCATTCTATTTTTACAATTATAGCTGGCGTTGTTTTCTCTAATTTCGATGAGCAAACCTCGAGTATTTCTTACCTTCACAGCTTTGACCATTCCCAACATATCCCGCGCGGCATGCACACTTCGAATCAAGACATCGAGCATTCTTGTGACATTCGACGCCCCCACACCCACCTAGGATTACTTAACAAACAAAACACAAACGTTTCTAAAATGCCTAATATGTAAAATGGATTTTTTTAAATAAAATGTTTTAAGTATAGTGGTAAACAATTCAACAGTTAGCATTACCTGAACATTTCTGTCCGTCACCTTGGTAACCTTTCTTACAAACGCATATGCGCACTTTTCTATCTGATGCGATACACTGAGCATTGACGTCACACTTGACGCCATCACACGTGCCGTCAGCTGTATAAAAACAAGACCGAAAAAAAGTTCATGATAGCRATCTCCAACAGATTTGATAAAACTGTTTATTTTTGGTTGCATAATAGACTTTCAGCGTCAAATCTGAGTGACTAGTTATTTGATTACTATTTGATTCTGATGACCAATATCGACAGTGTACAAATGAAACATTCAAATTACCTGTACAATTTTGACCGTCGCCTTGGTAACCTTTCTTACATACGCACATGCGCACTTCTCCTTCGGACGCCGTACATTGGGCATTGACGTCACACTTGACGCCATCACACGTGCCGTCAGCTGTATAAAACAGAAAAAAACGGTTCATTAGAGAAAAAATTCAGAGTGAAAAGCAAAAAAAAAAATCACTTTTGCAGTGATGTCAATGAGAGATTAACAATCTGTTAGTGCGCTCTGTTAGAGTCGAAGTCATTTGTGAAAATACCAAATGCCTACACACCCACAGAATAATACTTATAATACTTATGACAAGCAATGATGAGAGCTCAATCAAGGTCTAAAATTACCGCTACACTTTTGTCCGTCGCCTTGGTAACCTTTTTTACAAACGCACATGCGCACTTTTCCCTCAGACGCCATACATTGTGCATTGACGTCACACTTAACGCCATCACACGTGCCGTCAGCTGTATAAAGACAGGAAAAATTTCTAAGAATCACACTTTCTYTTGATGTAAAAGCACATTTATTCTGGACACGTRATGGTTAGCTGTCACTCACCTTTACAGTCAAATCCGTCTCCTTGGTAACCAAGATTACAGATGCATGTCGGTCCAGAGGCAACTTGCATACACTTGGCATTCGCACCGCAAGGCTTCTCACATTGTTTAGACTTGTCTGAGGAAGAAATGTGAGAAATATTATGTGATATTTTCACTTGTTTATATATCGGTGGATGTAAATGGTACTTAATATACACCGCTCTGAAGTCAACGTGTAAATAAAATTATATTTAGAGTTATATGCATCGTTCTTTATAAGTTGAACTTGGCCTTGTCATAAGAAGGTAATTTATCACGTAAATTGTCCTGTCAAAACCAATTTAGACTATTTTAACCGAAGTTTGTCGCCTGCACTAAATGATAAGAGGTTCTTCTCAAACTCAACGAGAAGCTTATTTTCGAGATACTCAAAGAACATTCTTGCACCAGCATTAAAGCCAAGCTTGAAGTCGATCTAGATTCGTGTTCCCCGTGTAATTGTACTCACGACCTCGAGGGAATTGGGAAAAACATGCGGCGCATTCTCGGCCGTAATCACATACATGTTTACCGAATTCAAGCATGTGAGAAAACAAAAGAATTACTACTAAATTCTAGAAGCAATTGTATTAATGTAATTTCCCAAGAAAACTGGAGGAAAAGAGAGAATAAATCATTCTTACATCAAACAAAGCTCACTAATGTGGTGTTGAAGAAGCTTTGATCGTGTTTATATCTATGCGACGCAAGCAGAGCAGGATGAGATAAGGAAAAGTTGAGAGAAACCATCGAGTCATCTTTCAACAACCGGCACAGGGATCCCTCATGTACGTTTGCTTTTGCATGATGCATTATATTATTTCTTAGCTTGTCCCAAATGGCCTAGTCCCTAATTTCTCACCTATTCGACATTGTTGACCGTCACCCTTATAACCTTCTTTACAAACACATTTATAGGAACCAATGGTGTTTACACAGTTTGCATCCTTACTGCATCGATAGCGGTTTAACGAACATTCGTCAGCATCTGAAACAAAATAACGCAATAAAAAATTCACAGAGTTGAAGAATTGATAGTTCTCGAGATTGATCTTTTTCAACCATTCCCATGAGATTCAAAAGATACAAGACTGGCGGCCATGTTGGAGGACATGAACAATAGATATTGATGAGAAATCCTTTGTTGAAGTTCCTCCAAGATGGCCGCTGTGACGTAGCTTGAAAACGAAGGATACGGAGTGGGGAGGGGTGAAACTACGTTTTTCTTAGATTAAGCAGCAAAAAATATAAATAACGCCAAGATGACAAGGCAGAATAACACAAAAGACATGAATAGACGTAGACAAGTTTCAAGGAAAAAAAAAGGCATTCAACTTGCATCATACCATTGCAATAAGTGACGCCATCACCAATGTAACCATAGTTACATCGACATTCTTTGTCGTTCCTAAAATCAATGCAAACTCCAGACTTATGACACGTGATCTTTTTAGATCCACAAGCCTTTGCAGACCCTTCACCATCACCTGAAGAAACATAAACACAAAATAATCACAAAAAATCACGTGACTATTATGATTTAATACACTTTAATTAAGAGGCTCCTAAAAGATTATATCATATCAGTACAGTATAGCCAAAGTTTGCGAGTTTTCGGGGTACCTGTGTAATAGACATTAAAACTTATCACTATGACGTCACAAGGAAATTAGAAATTGACACCAGATTTTACATGTGGCGAAAAAAACAAAGAAGGATTTAACAGGATTTCGGGGATGTAGCTCAGTGGTAGAGCGTCCGCTTCGCATGCGGAAGGTCCGGGGTTCGATCCCCCGCATCTCCAATCATCTTTTACGAGATTTGTATTGTTTTTGGCTTCTACCACTTATCTGTACTTCTCACTTACAGTTATACCATCATCCGACAACACAGGGGATGTAGCTCAGTGGTAGAGCGTCCGCTTTGCATGCGGAAGGTCCGGGGTTCGAAACCCCGCATCTCCAATCATCTTTTACGAAATTTGTATTGTTTTTGGCTTCTACCACTTATCTGTGCTTCTCNCACTCCTATATCCACGTGTTGACCACAGCCCTTTCGCTCGTTGAATTCAATGAACTGATCGACGGTGAAAGTGCGCTCYGTACCGTCAACCTTGAACAACAACAACAACAMAACAAATTAAAAAAACATCACATGACTAAAAATCAAAAAAATTTCAGAAATATTATATAAACCGCTTTCTGATTGGTTAACGAGCGTGCTTTATGATAACATGTATTATGGTCTATTCCAGTAATTACTTAATATCTATATACCGCAGTGTATCATGGTATGACTACGGAGAACAAAGTTTCTTTACAAAATTAGTTTTATTTGTAAAACAGCCTGRCACACGACAACATGGCTTCGGTTTAATCCCCATAACACATCTCGGCTACATTGCATGACGTCATTAGGCAAACTGACCCGATCCATTACCTCATATTTGACAGTACCACGTGACTGCATCCTGCCCTCCCCAGTYCTCTTGAATTCTTGTTTCAGCACTTTCTTCACATTAACGATGGCCTGGGGATCAATCTTTGGYAGTGTACCCCGTATTTCTGTTTCTACATTGATCACATCGGTTCGGATATCAATTCCTTTGAATTTTTGATAAATACCAAGTTGCTCGCCTGAAAGGACGTATTRACATACTCATTAATAATTCATGAGGGTAGTGGTACCCACTCTTTAAGGCTGTTTACATAACATAGGGTACCCCTAAGTTGTAGAGTCWAACTCTTTTGTTTTAAATCCTCCAGTTTGGATCTACTGACTAAGGGTTCCCTGTGTATTGTAAACAAGGCCGTAACCATATTGGACAAGATTCAAGGTTATAGCCTTGCAGTTGGTGTATCGGCTTCGCGTGGGACTGTCACAAATTGCGCGAAAATTGAATTCCCATTTAGTGCTCATTTTCGACTGAGATGTCATTGAGATAGTGAAAACGTTATGCATGAAAAAAGTTATGATAATGATGATGATGATGATGACAAACATTGATATGATGATAAGACAGCTTACCTGAATCAAATCGTACGACAGCTCTTCTTCCAAACTTCACTCCAACGACACTTAACCCGTTAATAAATCCATTAGGTTTTGGCTTAGCGTACATCCAGCTTACAACATCAGACAGTGGTGTTAATATTAGTACCGAGTAAGCTAAAGACGAAGGGAATGATCTGACCGATGCATAGGCTCGTCCGTCTACTGAGAAAGCGATCACGTCCATTTTGAGATCTCCGAGGTTTTCATTGTTGATTAAACCTGTTAGTGGTCCTGACATGCGCTGTACAGCACCTACAACAAGAATGTATTGATGGTGATAATGATCGCTCACGATCGCTCAATCGCTGAAAAGTGCTTCAGTATTATCTCTCACAATCCGGCGATCCAACAACTTACCCATCTTAACACATGAATCCCCGTTTCCATAAAAACCATCGTTACAATGACAGCAGAATCCAGGTGATTTATTGACACACGTTGCGGCAGAGTGGCACTTGAATCCCCCGGCAAATTGACATTCGTCCAAATCTGGTTGACAAATAAATAAACATTTCTTGTTAATGAAATACAGCCCCATTATGGACTGAAACAAAAATAAGGTCCGGCATCGTCACATGACCTCATATAGGAAAGCAGAACAATACTCTATGTCAATCAATCTTCCTATTTTTTCCTCTTGAGAAACTTTGCATCTTAATTACCCTTTTGTTTGGCATCTCCGCTGGACTGATCAGACTGCACCGCGGCTCGTGGATTCACCTTGTAGACGGAGGCAGTGTATCGACCACCACAATACTCCAAATCGTTTACGGTACATGTAGCATTACATTTGTCAGCACTAGCCTCGACCAGGTGCTTAAGATTTTCCAAGCATGCGCACTGGTCACCATTGTGTAGCGCGGCAAACGGTCGTTCATGTTGGTGGCAGAGGATCATACATGATCTGATGCTAATATCTTTCCAGATTTGGCTACGATTGGTAGTTAAGTAACCATGGACTACAAAACAGCCTTTGAAAACTGAAACGTGAAAATAATTAAAATTCTAAGTRCAAGGAGCTACGYGGACTAGTTATTTTTCATGGCAGTGGCGGATTCAGGGGGGTTCATTGCGTGCACGGGTGTAGCCCACGACCAGAGACTCAATAGTGGCCAGTGATGCTATCTCATAATGGTGCACCCCCTGGGAAGAGKSTCTCAATGGGGTTAACCGTGAGCCGTGAAACGGCTAAAAAATTAGCCGTGAATCGTAAAAATGAGAAAAATTAGCCGTGAAACGGCTGAAAAATTAGCCGTGAGTCGTGGAAATGTGAAAAAAATTAGCCGTGAGGCGTGAAAAAGCCAAATTTTTATCCGTGAGTYGTGATGCGGACCCCCCCATTGAGACCCTCTGGGAAATATGAAGTATTTTTAACTTACATTGACCAACAAAGAAGTCAAGGGGTTCAGACGTTTTATCAACGTAGCTATCAGCAAGCTGCACTTCCATTCCAAACATGTGAGGCCATCCRACTTTGAATATCCATTGCCCTGGGCTCATCCTGTTGGACGTTGTACTTAGGAAATGAACAGAATCTTCTCCAGAGTTTGGTAATGTGTAATACCTATAAAAACAACATATCATTGATTTGCGGATGTAGCTCAGTGGTAGAGCTTCCGCTTCGCATGCGGAAGGCCCGGGGTTCGATCCCCCGCATCTCCAATCATCTTTTACGAGATTTGTATTGTTTTTGGCTTCTACCACTTATCTGTACTTCTCACTTTCAGTTATATCATCATCCAACAACATAGGGGATGTAGCTCAGTGGTAGAGCGTCCGCTTTGCATGCGGAAGGTCCGGGGATCGATCCCCTGCATCTCCAATCATATTTTTGACATTGGATCAATACCTGCTGTCATCAATTCTATCAAGTATACCTTATTATTCTTTTAAATACCAAACCAAAAGAACAAAGTGAAAGTGATTCGTGAAACAGTTTAAACATTTTTATTCCCAAGCCGTTTTTAACTCAACTAGACGCATAACTGCGTAAACTCGGGGTTCTTGTTGATAAAATAGCAGTGAATTTGGTAAGGCTCGTTTACACTTGCAGGTTTGCCATATATTTACTATATAATTCGCTTCTGATAAGATAGGTAGCTTATAACAGTCACACAAATAGTTTTATCTAAGATATCACAATCACTAAACGATGAAGTGACAATATTTTGAGTGTAGTTATCGAAGAATTGGACTGTATTGAACCCTAATAAAGTTAATATCAATACTATCAAAAGGGTAAAGCAAAAAATATTTCCTTGAATGAAAAATAATAACAGAAGCAATGTACTTAGTGTGGAGAGGCTGCGTGACGCGTGACCGAAACTAAACACGGCTGCGAGGAGACTACAAGCTCTCCTCACTTTGATAGTCACATGGCAGGTTATAAACACAGAGTCTTTTATCCTCTCTGCTAAATAATATAGTTGCAATCGTCGGTTTTGTCTCAGTAGAATTCTGTTCGCAAGTCCTTTCTAGTTTCATCAGAGCCTGTAGAATCAGTTTTAAGTATTCGGGATTCTTAATATTATTTAATGAGATTGGTAGCTTGTTTGATAGATAGTTCACGATAAATTTCACGATAAGTTTCAAGATAAATTTCACGATAAATTCGCGGTATCTCTCAAAATGCCCTTTCGAAAAACGCTCGACATCTTTTAGTGTGGCTATACCGCGAATGGTGTGTGGATTTGTAAGAGATTTGAGCGTGTTTGAAGTTGAATCCATGTCTTCCATCTCGTATAAAGACGACACCTCGACGACACCATGTAAAGTTAAAGTAAATATATACATTCAAGTTGTGAATGTCACGTGATTCGTACCCAGTGCATTCTAGTTTGGCCGAGAAAATTTGTGTACGACGAATACCATGAAAAAGAAAGCCGAAACCTAAACTCGTGGTTCCTGTGGAACCCCGAGTAAAAAGAGACCAAGAACGCAATATTAGAAAGTTGTCTATCATTTTGAGGTGTCTGATTTATCCTTTCATCAAAAATGTTTCATAAGAAACTCCGACGCAGCATACTATATGTAGCGAAACACAGTAGGATCCTCCCCACATAACTTTCTTAGAAGAGTTGATGTGATTGGTTAAGCAGCTCAATAGACTTCATCGTCTACATGTATTGCATCAACCTATGTTAATATGTTTCGCAACGTTCTGTAAATCTTATCTTCTTAAGTCAACTGTTCGACCTCTTTTCCTYACCTAACAAAATCACCAGCGCTAAATCCAGACTGCGCATGACTGAATCTTTGCCCTTTCCAATAGATATGATATCCCTTGKTCCATTGCAGGCCGTCAGTGTCGTAATTAAACAAAACAAAAGTCTTTTTACTGTCGGTTATCAGAACTGCTTGGAATGTATTATTCTGTTCAAAGAACAAGAGAAATGTGTCAGTAAACGGGATGCTTGCCGTCTTGACGGTTCTAAGAGTCACCATCATGGGGATGTAGCTCAGTGGTAGAGCGTCCGCTTCGCATGCGGAAGGTCCGGGGTTCAATCCCCCGCATCTCCAATATGCTTGGAAGTTTTTTACATAAAGAGAAAKCTGAGCTAACTTAGATTAACGAACAATTTTTGTTTCCCGCCCGTCTCTTCAATGACCCAATGTTTTATTTAAATGATTAGCACAAATTACGAGCTCCTAAAAGATTATCGCATCAGCGCCCTATTTTWYTAGTTTTCGGGCTTTTCCTGTGTAATAGACATTACAGCGTATCTCTATGACGTCATAAGGAAACCAGAAATTGCCACCCGATTTTTACATGTGGCGAAAAAAAGCAAAGTATTTAACCAGGATTCGGGGATGTAGCTCAGTGGTAGAGCGTCCGCTTTGCATGCGGAAGGTCCGGGGTTCGAAACCCCGCATCTCCAATCAAAMTTTGTATTTTWTTTATTCCATTACATTTTATTGCCTTCAGTTTTGTAGTCTCTCTCATAACGTAAAGTATGAATCCATTTTTCGTTTTTTTGCTACCGTTATTCCGCCTGAAATTCACTATAACTTTCACTTAAAGAAATAGGAAATCAGTATAAGAAGCATTTAATAACGCCTTCATGAATTAGAAATCCACTTTACCTTCTTGACTTGTCTGTGGTGCGCATGCTTGAGATGAACCCACGTGACCACAAATACCGCTGTCGCATTAAAATCCCCTTCCTGGATAAAAGACGACTGTACGTCCCGCATCGCGCGGGATAGTATGTCTACATCCCGTGATTCATAAAAAGATACTTGGCTTCCGTTCGAGAGGCTCGCGGGCGCGTAAAAAGGTGCAATCACTGTCACATAAGGAGGGAATACAAACTTTCTCCGTATATGGGGGTAGTCTGGTATTGTGGTGCTYCCAAGTGTAATTATGCCATCCAAGTGGACCTGAAAAAGATATATTTTAGTGACTAAGTAACACTCCATTTTCAAATTCAAAGGAAACAACCGCTGCTTTATTTGACAGAAGATTCTCTTTGCGTAAGAGAATCTGMTGTCAAATAAAACAGCGGTTGTTCGCTTTGAATTCGAAAATRGAGTATTGCGTTGATTATTGGGTAAGAATGGCCATGTCATGAGACCATGAATCATTTAAAAGTAGTGAAAATACTGTATGCATTCTTTAGGAAGAGCAAACATTCGACATAAGCAAAATAACTTATAGTATATATGTATCGACTATGTAATAGTGCGAATAGCAAGCAGAATGAATCGAATATTTTGATTAGCAACAATCTTCAACAATATTCTCCCATTTTAGAGTTATCAAGTCATACTGGGCATGCGCAGGAATCTGGGAAGGAAATGCTGTAAAAAACAAATTATGGTGTATACAACTATCTTGATTTAATCATTGAGTGGATATTTAGTTCATTGTTGATGCCATTTGCTTAAAACTAATCACGGTTATTATCACCAAGAATCTTTTCGGGATGCACTTATTATAAACATTTAAAATATGAAGCCATTATCTTTTACWGTTCAGTTTAATCTCCTTAGTACAAGGGAAAATCCTCCAGAACACAGATCGAGTTTCAAAGATTACAATTTGAATTATCTTCATCGATTAGTTAATTTTTTTTAATGTGCTCATTCGCAGTCCGTGCTCAATCCATCCATCTGTTCATCCTTCCGTCCATTCAACGTTTCTTCACCGAGGAACACGGTGAAATGAGAGTTGGGATTGCTCTGCTCTGCTCTATTAATATGGGGTTTCACKAGTGGAAGTGGGATAKACAAAGAAGAAGTAATGSGAAATTCCTTCCTTTCATAGCGACTATCCATCTACGCATTTCYYAATTTTATTTCGTTCTATTCTCATCCATCTTTTAATTGACTATGTGAAAGCCTTTAGTTAATCCAATATGCTTCTACAGTAATCAACGGKTTATTAAATCAGTCCTAGTATTCATTCTAAATCGATTTATCTCCGAAAATCACGGAAAAGATTACCCCATTTAAAGGAAATGCTAATAGCGATGTTGAGAGGCACTTAAGGRAATCACTTTAGCAATAAAAAGCCGGCAAGTCTCTGGGATACCAATTACATATACCCCCGATATCTGACTCCGACGTGTTCACCGCATTGGTCCTGAAGAAARCGCACCWTAAAAACCTCCTGGTTTGTTTATGTTTTARTAAAGTCTGGACWCAGTGCCAACAGACACAGAAAAAGCTATTGGAATGATTCTAAAGGTATCTCATTTCTGGCAAATCCTGGTTTTTCGATCTTTCTGTATTGACCTTTCTCACGACCTCTTGGTTCATCGTTTACTGAGATCATTTTGTGCTGTTTAGATAGCAGAGGAAAGGAAACGCAGATATTTTATCAAACCATGGATTTTATCCATTAAAATGAACCATTGTGATATATCTTTTGAAAAAATGATAACAGGGGAATAAATTCCAGACTGTAGTCGTAAGTCGGGGCTGCATTAGAGACWCGTTGGTGTGGTGGGCGGACAAAAGGGGGATAAAGGAGATAAAAGTTGGGGGGAGTAGGTTAATTAATTTTTCAGAATCATATACACTTAATTAAAAAAACGTTGTGCAAGAAAAGGACTTTTTGCCATTTAGGAATTGTTTTAATTCCTAAATTTAATTCCTAATTTTAATTTTAAGTGCTCAGTTTCAGTGGTCATTTTGTAATGCATTCCTGAGTTCCTAATCTATTGGCTATGGACCCAATCAAAGTAAGCATGGATCAAGGAAGATATGTACTGATGGACWGCTTCATTTTGAGACGCAGTTTGTCGTTCGAATCGGATGGTCGGCGGGAAAATATCGACGTTTTGTGCTAGAAATATGAGCTTCCTCCTCAAAAACATGCTCAGTCATCTCTTTGGAAAAAAAGAACATTGTCATCGATTGATATTTCTTCTTTTCTGTCCATTGTCTGCTTGCATGACATATTATGCTATTTTGTTATTGCGTTGCTCCTTTTATTTATTAAATTGTTGTTGTTTTTTTGTTGTTGTTTTTGCTAAGCTTTCTTTGTCTTGATTGTCATAGCAAATTTTCATAGCTGTTTTTGTTGCGTTGCCTGTGCTTCATATATCACTGAGAGTGTCATTTGTGATCGGTATCGCGATAATTAAAAAGAATCTCTTACCCCGTTTGTAATCAGACTTCACATCGATAAACATTCACTTAGGGTGTGTATCATTTAACTACGGAACTTTCAGTGATAAAGCTGACTATGGAGAATTGTATCATGTTATTTTGCGATAATTAGAAGATGTTATGTCTAGTGATACGTCGGTGAATTGATTGTTATCGACCTCGTTGAGGGTATACCGGGTATATATTGGTATATCTACACGGACTGTGCACGTGCTTGTGGCAACGAACTCTACTGATACCGATACATATCGGCTTCCTTCGTTGGTGGTTTTGCAAGTTTTGAGGAATGATTTTAAAAATATCGAATAACAATGATGATATACAATGGAAAAAATAATGACCATGACAAAAAATAGAAAGAGAGAACAAGAAAAATACGACTGGGAGATAAAGAAAAAGATAGATGATAGTGATGAATGAAAGATCAGCAGGAGAAGGACGATGTAGCAAGATGATGAAGGGAAYGAAGATTGCAAAGAGAAATACTGTAATTTAACTGAATTAAGTCTCTAAAAAGAAGAGCAAAGAACAAGAAGAGATGAAAGAGCAAGAACAAGAACATGAAAAATATAAGACGCACGAAGAAGCGATGAACGAAGGAACAGACAAAAATAGTGTGGAATCTTTACAGTAATTCCCATCCTATCGGTCAATCATGGCGATGGTTGCTGATAGTGATGATAACAATGCATTACTAATAATGAAAACTCTCGACCCTACATTCATCCAATACTAGTGAAAACTGTGATAACGGCAAGAGTCGTGACCTTAGTTTGGTGTTAACGTGTCATCTCACACTTGATTTCGCGCTGTCGTGAAGCGACAAAAGAAATGAAGCTTACGTGAATCATGAAATTATTAACAGTTTTTCCTAGTGAACTCTGAAAGGCAAAGACAAATTGTTTCTATTTTTGTGTGAGGCGTGAGAATGTCTTTTATCTCTAACTCAAAATCATTTATAATCGTGTAATTAATTCAAGATGGCCAAAGCTTCAGAAATTTCTCAATTAGGAGATGAAAGCTGAGAAACATCTGAATTGAGGTACAAAATGCCGTACTCAATGCAAAGAAAAAGAACAGCAGCAACATATTTATGGAAAATATTTGAATTTACTTTTTAATTTAAGTTATCTGGGGAAAATCTTGAGATAGACCCTCATAGGTCTCGATCAATATCGACGGAGTGTTTCCCCAAGCATGCCAGACATAGCTCAATTGAAAGCACTGTACAATGCACCACAGTTAAGTCAAATATTCGCCAGAGTTCAAGTTCAAATACCAATTTTGTAAATCTCTTTTTTACCCCCCTGTCTGAGTAGATCGAAATAACATGTTAAATTCAAAAGAGCTACTTATTAGAATCAAAACCACTAATCAAAAAAATAAAGTGACGATAATAAATATCTGAATACTATCGGTCATGATTTTATGATGAGTTCAAAAGTAACTCAAGGAAAATCCCTTAAAAATTCAACGAAGCGGCATTTTATACCGATTTACGAAATCGACATTTACATGCGATCAGGGAAAACCCCTCGAAGTATGTAATCCTATTATTTACATCCTTGGTTTCCAATGAACTGTCGGAATTTAACATCTGGCGAGGGGAAACTAAACTATGTTTATTTCTTTTCCATGTTTCAAACGAGGGGCAGAACACTTAGGCAACCACATGATTGATCGGTAACCTAAATCCCATTAAATTGGCTGAGATAAACAAAGATTTGTTGAACAAATGTGGACCTTGTGCGACCTTCTCGCTCGGTGCACGGCACAGAATGAAATGAGAGAGAAGGCAATCATACGTACAAWGACCGTGTGGATTGGAACACAGTCGTGTGTGTCCGAATCTTTCTCGTGATTTAACTTCAAATCTAGAGACACGTATGTGCTTTAATTAGATTAAATGATTAATTCCGCAGTTACCAAGTGATTATTGGATTTTAAAAAACAATAGGTTTTGATGTGAGAGTTTGAGCAAAATCAAAATATTGGCGTCTACCTTATGACATTGAAATATTTTTAGTCGTTTAAAACTGCACCATTATTTCAAAGTCTCATTAAATTCAGTTATAGATACTCGCTTTCCTTGCGATTAAAGTAGTAATCATTTGCAGTAATTAATTGCCTGCCAATAAAGTGTGTATCAGTTTGAATCGATGAAATCAGCTTTTATGCGTCTCTATGCTTCTTGTGTCGAAGTCTTCAAACAAATCATTTGCTACAGTAGCAACTCATTCAACCTCTAAGCATGGTGTGCAGCATGTAAAACAGGCTTTGGTGGCCTTCCACAACACTGYACTAATTGATGAGGTCCCTTGGGTGCAGAGACACTTCCGGCCCCTTTTGACATACAACAACAGCACAAAACCAAAGCACATGTCATAAACAAATCCGAGTTGATCAAACATTCTATTTGATATCTACTATCGAATCTTTGATCAAAACTTCTCTGCACGACAAGTATTTCACCAACCGCACATGAAGGAGCAAGCGCAACTGATTTTTTTGATAAATACACCAATCTTGTTATTTGAATTCGTTGAAAAATTGTGATAAAATCAAAAGGTTTTGATGGTGCTTAAGGTGGAGATTGAAAAGAAAAGTACTCTCACTTTAACGCGGTCTGGAATTCATTGAGATAATAAAACTATGGTTGAGATTCCTCGTTTTTGTTGACTCTACACTTGAAACTGATTAAAAGCATGATGAAAAAGAAACATTGGAAGAATTCTTTGTCCTGTGCGCAGTATTTTCCAATCAATGCACTTTCATTGATATCATGTCTCACATTGAAGTTTCTCATCTTGAATAACAACCATAGATGATTAAGCAAAGATCGTTTACGTCGTTGAAAAGTCCCGCCATTTCACTTCTTTATTTATTCTCGACATAGCTATGTTTTCTCTCGCTACATCAGCTACAGGACCTGCAGACTTGTGCTAAATTTGAGATCTTTTAAAATGCATCTTCGTGTCATGGTGACGCAACGAAGCATAAAATACCGCACTATACATTTACAAAGCCTTAGTAATCTCATGTTGAAGTAATACGATAAAACTCACCCTAAGAGTCTTGTACTGCTTCCCGTAAACATTGTATGTGGTCCCGAGAGGAATTGGAGCAGAAACACTGGAGGAGAGCAGCTTGGATGAACCGTGGCCGTCTTGCCTAGGGTAAAATTGCTCTACACGAATGCCGCGTGCAAAACAAAACGAGCATATTATGACCAACAAGATACCAGCAATTGAACTAAAGTCAGCCATCACGATCACTCCAGAAGGACCGACCTTCTGAGTACAAACAGTTGATTAGAGTCACGGAGAGTAACGAGGCGTACGTCGTCTGACCAGTCCCCAACTTGAGTATATTATCACAAGTCAAACACAACTCCGGAGTCTTAACGCTTGTGAAAGTGATGATATAAGTTTCACGTGGTTGTATTGTTTGAAAACAAAGACATGACGGCAAAACAAACAATTAGTATACATTACATTTCATATCACACTGAATTCATCTCAAGAATGACGAGCCATGACAGAGTGAAGAAACGTTGTCTGTGGCTTAAATGGACACAGCCCTCGCGCACTTCACACGAGAGAAGGCAATCTACGAGCTCTGTTACTATCGTCACTGCACTGTGTAGGAGCATAGTAACTATGGTAGGAACGATATGTAATGTCAAATTAACAAAGACATCAAAGCAACGCGACAGCTCTTGAAGTTACTGTTAGCAAGAACATTCACATCATCGTGACTGCTCCAAAATATTTGCGCGATGTAAAAAGTGTTTCCCAAAGAACTAGCAGTTCAAAGTGCTTTTTTCAAGGTATATATTCAAAGCGCAAAGTCAGGACAAGGAGCTTTGTTTATTGGGTTATCGTGGTAGGCTGAGAGGCTTGTTTAACCCCATAATTAGCAAGGAACTAACGAAGCGATCGGCCTGGTTTATCTATGTGGTTCATGCGAGGGGGTCCTTAGGCGTGTTCTTACTGTGACAACCGTCTAGACTTCATATATCGAGTGCCGTTTAACCCCGCAATGTGAATCCTAAGAATGTGCTAAAGCATTGTTTATTAGTGGAAGTTTACACTAGACAAAGCTAAAATGTATTCTGAAAACCATTTAGCGTGAGGTACTTGATTTGGAGAGGTCACAGAGTAACATACTAGGTATGCTATAGTCTGATAGAAGTTGAAGCTCCACTGATAAAACGAATTCCTTCTATCAGCTGTATTTGATCAAGAAAGAATTGCTTTGACACAGTGTGCTATTACTTAACCATTTTCGTCGATATTTTGGGACAAACCACCGCGTTTTAAGTCCAAATGCCGGCGAGGACTTGCCCCGAAATGGTCCCATGTGAAAATGCTATTTTGCATTAGTTCGCGTGCAACCTGCGCAATGTTTCAGTTTTATGAACTATATCGAACGACAGATCAAAATTGCTCGATAAGTCGTCTCTCGTGTCACACCCTTGTCATAGATAGTCTCCGTCGATACCAGGGTCGGCTAGCAGTCCGTTTGCAGTCGCTTACATTCAACATTCTTCACTCAAGATCGGCTAGTCTAGTAACAAAGATAGATTATAAGAGACGAACTATATCCAAGACCTCCGTGACCGTATATAGCAGTAGTCACTGTCATGCACACATTATGCATGATCGAGTCAGTACATAGTCGTCTTAAAACACGACGCCAGTGGCAGTAGCGATACTTGCGTAGATGTAACGTTTGTATCAGTACTGCGTACTTAAACTGCCAGAAATAAACCTTAAATCGCTGTRTATCAGTCCACGGCGTAGTGGTACTATACTGCACTGTTTGTACCACTGCGTCGAAGTTCCGCATAACAGTTTGCGCACAGCATTAATAGACGCGGATTTCGTATGAGTGGGACACCGCTACCGCACGGTTACCGCACAGTTACCGGACCTGGCCTGCACAATTTTGGTGAACCAATGGGGCACTAGAATTTTGTTACAGTACGATTACGGTCACAGTACAGTACCGTCCGTTTCCCACTCATACGAAATCCGCTCTAGTGTCCAGTTCGCGTAGTTAAATCACCACGATCTCCATAGTCATGATTGCCATGACTGAGAACTCACTGTGCTGCAACAACACTTGATGCCGCCTAACTATACACGGGAGGTGGGGAGGGGGGACTGTTATACTAAGCTATATAACCCTGATTTAGGACAGTCGTGTGGATTAGGGTTTATCCGCGACACGAACTCAAGGATTTAACTCGCGGATTATATCCTAGACCACTATATATAAACGATTGAACGATAAAGAACCAAGTCAAATACTGAAAGCCTGTTTCAGGCGAAAGGAAAACAGTCTATTTTTTAACTAGCAATGGTTGAACGTCATTCTAGTAGAATGACAGCCAAATATCTTTCAAGTAGAGATGGGCGAACAGTTGATTGATTGATTGACCAACATGCCCATTTTGTAAGAGTAGGTGTGTGCCAAGGGAGTAGGACTCCTTTTTCCTTGGTAGAGTCTGGCAAGTCTTTGACATTTTAGATCTTTTTAACAAATAGACACTCATGTATAGTAATTTTACAGTCAATCGCCTTCTTCTTGATACTGGCAAAAAAGCTAGAACCACACCTCATGAATGACCCCAGCAAACGCCACTGGTTTGTCATGGTGTGTTCCTCATAGTGCTATGCAATCAGTACGTTATCATATATTATCAACGGAAATAATACAATTTTCAATGAAAATATAATTTAAATTTAATCGATTTACGATTGAATTTTTATTGCATACCTGCTTTCTAAATGTCATGATGAGAGAATGGTGACTTGAATCAGTTCTGCACAACGCCAGCGAGAGAACTACTTATGATTCCATATTGGTATGGTGTCGACGGATAAGACACTTTATCCGATTCATGGTGATTCTACAGAGCCATTATTTCTTCAAAAACCTTGCAATCCTTCAACTTCAATGAGCTGTCGATCGAGCTATCCATTGTCTCAGTTTTGACAAACTGCCTACTGGTGAAGCTACAGTCTATGCATTTGTGACTAGAACACGGTCTTATGTAAGTTGAATCTTCAGTGATTTACCTACAGCGTCGAAAACCCATTGAAGGGCTACAAATCCTGATAAATTAGAACTCTACTTGCAAGGATTACAACGACGTCCGCTTTGGCCGGCCATTTTGAAAGCACAGGTATCCCAATATCACCACAATAAAGTAAGAAATTTGAAAATGTTTCAAATGTCCATACATAGTAAAATATAAGTTGGAGTTTATTGTTAAAAGCACTATTCTCGAAAAATTAAACAACCAAATATATACACTGATATATTTTTTAGCACACTGAAAATCTCAGATCCAAAGACGCTCTTAGAGTGTTAACTCGAACAGCTCAGATGGAAATTGGATTGTTGAAAGTTAATTTGCCAAAAATAATACAAAACAGTCATTAACGTATTCTTGAATTATTTTGAAAGCGTTGCGGGCCACAAAATAACGAAACAGTTTCGTGTACTATTAGCCTTTGTACATCCGTCCCTCACCTCTCACAAAAAATCGGGGAGCCGAATTTTCCCCGCAGGGAAGGAGGGGTGGGAAACAGATGTACACAGGCTAATCAGCATATATCAGGGTAGACTGGGTACAGGTCCCTTATTTGGTATGGTGATGAGACCAGACAGAACAAAAGTACGGCTTCTGACTCGTTTATCATCTACTCTACTTTGTACTATGAACTGATCAAATATATGAATATCACACGTTTTCACAATGATTTTCATTCAAATATCAGATATTGAGTAGTATACAGAGTATATGCAAGGCGGAATTATTTTTATTCCCTTACTTATTTGTCTTTTTATTTGACGTCATTATATTTTCATTTGACGTCTCTTGTTACGTATTCGGTATTGTTCGAGAATGACATTTAGCTAGGTCAGTGGTGTTTTCTGGAGGAAGCTGAATTCACGTCATGGACATTTTTAAAATTTGTGAAATATTCCAAAATAAAGTTCTAGGGTTGATTGAAAATAAAAAAATAGAAAACTACAAAATAAAAACCGAAATTACCTGATATATCATGTCGCATCAGTGGACATTATCGCCGGGGACTGAATGAATTGCGCATTATGTTCACATATATCGCATGCAATGATGACAACGATCCGAACAATCAGGGATACTGCAAAATATTAATTTACGATTTTTAAGAATTTCCCTTCCAAGTGTGCGGAATCAGTCTATGCTTTCAGTTTTGACAACTTTCTTGAAGCAAGCAATACATGGACGAGTGGACTATAGTCCATGACATGCCAGGAAGCCAAAAAACGTAAAAATATAACTTTTCCAGTCGACATTCATCTCCTATTTTCGCTTCATTCAATACGATCATAGTCTGAAAAATGAATAGATTATAGTTCCGGAGCCAATCAGAATGCTGGATTTGTGCGATATTCCATATTTGTATGACCACATAAAACGTCACTTTAGGGGAATTCCCCTACACCACCAGGCTGTACAAAGAGCAGCACGTACGCCGAACAACTTCCCGTTCAAGACTATATATGAAGAATTGTAAGGAATAAGTTTTAAATTTATCTATTGACAAATGGGGAAAGTGGCTATGAAGTCTTTATCAACCATGTAAACATTTTGTATTTCTGGCATGTACATGTTTGTCGTCTAGGAAACCAGAACTTCTGAGTTCATCCATGCATGATGCAATGACTATATAGATCATCGTTTCCTGGTTATTAGTGTCGACTGGCGCCTCAAATAACTAAATTTCCACGATTCTATCTTAAAGAGATTGGAGATAGATAGGATGTGTTTGATATGTAGGTTATTTTTAGATCATTAATAATAATAATAGCCGAGCAGTGTGTACTTTAAACTTTATGTTTTGCAAAATACTGACACAGCATAAGTAGCCAAACAAATATCGATCTTGTATAGCTCTCTCTACTTTATCGCACGAGATCTTTTTATGTAGTCGAAAAATCGTCACTAGATTATCAATCGAATCAGGACGATCAGGAAGTTGATATGCTAATTTTGCGCTTTGGGGAACAAGAGACAATTTCAATATTTACCGCTCGCGGACTTGTTTCCTCATGTAATTTCAGACAATCTTGTCATTTATTTTACTTTGGACTCGACCCGCAAAACGTACGATAAATTCTAGTTGKCCCCTTTTGAATTCAAAGTTTTTTACGACAGATGATTTCATCAAATATCAAAACTGTCGATGTCCACGTGATATGGTCAAAGTGATCACATGCAGTCSGCAGTCATGTGCTCCAAGCCATGACAGAAAGAGCAACATATATGGACAAGTTAAATTTCTAAGAGAAACTTTGGAATCAGCACATTTTGTACTCTACGTTTAAATAAAAAAAAGTAAGATATAAAACCAGGAAACCATTGTCTCAACGTTAACTGAGATGTTYTCTAATTTAGTTCAGTTATCAATGACTCACATAGTTACACAAAGAAATGAAGGAAATACAACGGTCGAATGGTGCAACCCACCACAAGCACACGGAGTTTCAAAGGTGGATCCAGAGGGGGTTGCGTGGGGTCCACGAAATCCCACTCGATCATTAAACAAATAACCAAAAAATGATTTAAAAAATGAAGAAAACAGCATCTACTGAATTTAATATCGAGTTCATGTTTCTGAATCATGTCGACGTGGGTTGCCTGTGCCTATGGGTGCCTTGTAAAAAAATTGAAATGTACGTTTTATGAAAAAATGTGAAACCAAAATGAAGTCCAATTTTGAAAAATCCTGGACCTGCAACCGAGTTAACATTTAACCCGGCAGAAAAGCTGGAAAAGCAAACACCCTGATACCAGAGGATGGCTTTCTTGCAATTCTTCTCCACCTGATTGTGCACTTTTTTGGAGGAGAAGCTTGGAACACACACATCATGCAATATATAGAGTTGCGCGAAAGTCTAGCTGAGAAAGGGAATCGCATAATTTCAACTCGTATTGGACACACTTCCTTTTCCAGTTTAATGGGATCTTTTTCAGCTTATTCAAAATTTCAATGAGTCATCTGTACCTGCTTATATTAGCAGCAAAGCAACCATGCAATGACTCTTAAAGGAAATTCTGACTTATTTCATGCATAATACCCAGCGTGCCAGAAGAAGTTGGAACTTCCCTATCATCTCTATTACGGCGCCAAGTACTCGATTAATTTGAGCGGGATTACGAATAAATTATGAGAAAAGTGTAAGCAACTGACACTCTTATTTCATCACTCTTATTTCTATTTTCTACCACAGAGTTTGACAACACAATCAAATATTGAGAAATATTGTTTAAGCTCAAAAATAAAGAGAGACTTTTTCTCCTATACAATACAATCAAAGATTGTTGAAATATCTTGTTTTATAGCAAGTATATGGGATCATGGAGTCGATCATTTTCGACACTTCTTTTTATCGAGTTTCCTATTCTTTCATTCACAAAACTAGTTTCTAAAGTATCGCAAGTGAATGATCATTCTCTTCTTGGGGAATACCATATTCAGCTAAATCTCGATGGTCAGGTTTCAGATGTAAAACTTTTAGGGGACATTTGAATAAAGTTTCCATGGAATTTGCTCATGACGGCATGTGTAAAACTAAAAAAGAGATGGAAATATCACAAATATATTATGTCAGTTAGAATGTGCTTGAACCACAATACCTTTGATCAACCATCATCATCCATAAATGATTACGAACATTCAGAAAAGAGGTAAATATCAGTTTTGGAAACTTCTGCAGTTTCTATATCATATTCTCGCCGTAAAAAATACCCGTCGGTGCTTTCCCCGTGTTTTTAAAACTTGAAAAGTAAAACCGAAACAATTTGCGTTCGACCCAATTGATTGATTCAAACAAAAGACGCGAGACGTTCGCGTGGTGGGGTTGGGAAAACCCCCAGCAACGGACGCTAACAATTTTCGAATKATATTTATGAATTCAGGTTAAATAGCTCCATAATCCATGTRAATGCACGTTTTTGGTATGGTATTGTGTAAAAGTGCTTAGGTTTGTATTAAGTCATCGCAAAATTTGTCATCTTGCGCGGGCGTGAATGCAAACATGCAAATCATCACTATTGCTAAACAAAATCCCAAGTTCAAGTTTTTGGGGAATCCCCTAATTGAATATTCATAAAACTGCCTTTGAAGCCCCGGATGACGTTTGGGTTTTTGATTGGTCTACCTTCGATCGAATATATCRTATGTCGCGCTGTGATTGGCTTGGTACGAAGGGGTTATTTYGAGGGAAATTCCCTTGAAGACGAGAAGTGGATATTTGATGAAGAGTCCGCCATTTTTGATCATTCTAACTGAGAACGGTTTAAGAAGACCAGGCAGATATATTATTTTTTTCTGATTTTTTTCTCAACTAAAGAGAACTATCAGACCGGTGTAAAGAATGGATAAGGAAAGGAAACTGACTGCACGAGGAGCACCAATGATGGCTTCCCCGATGTTGTTRCGTCCTGATATGAAGGGCGGTAAGATAATCGATGCAGAGCGCGTTGATTCTGGATTAGGMGATAGTTTCAAGTCTGAACGAGGTAGCAATGAATCAAATCCAGAAGGACTGACGGTACTGGACGAACTAATGAGTGAGAAAATGTCCCTCAGTGAGAACACTAAACAATCATGTCTTTGCGATGACGCATCCATGAACGCTCGTCATCCAGAGCCATGCAGTCCGCCTGAAAGAACTTCTACTTCGCCAAAGATGTCTCCAGTTATGAGTCCAGTCCAAAACGTGATGAACTTTGCACAGAGCAACGACGTACGACACCTTCTTGTACCCTTCAGGAATCACTTCTTCSTTCAGAACGAAGATGGCGACACGTAAGTTGATATTCAACTGTACATAGTGCAGTTATTGAGCAATGGCGGATGACTAACGAAGCATTCTGTAGCATTTTTCTTATTTATTTTCCGAAATTATAAGTCAGAAGTTTGAGGAATTTGTTTTGATGTGTAACTGTCTACAATAATACTACATTTGCATTGATTAAACTGAATTTATGATATGATAATTTTCAAATCAACGTTTTTGTCTTTTGTAGGCCGATTCATGTCGCTGTTATTCACAACTTTCCTCACATTGAAGCATTTGTAAGCCTTGTACCGACCAAGGATTGTCTCAATGTTTACAACCATTTAAGACAGGTATRGRAGATACGACCAGATACTGCTCAGTYCAAAGTCAATACCAACTTTTGACTTCATATTACATATTACCTAAATCTAAACAAGCAATTTATATTCTTGTAGACTCCACTACATCTTGCTGTTATCACAAGGCAGCCATCAGTTGTCAGCATCCTGCTACAGGGAGGAGCAGCCATTGACATGGTCGATCGTAATGGAAAAACAGCATTGCACTTAGCTTGTGAACGAGGCGATATGGACATTCTGAACATATTGACACAACACCTACTGAATACTCATGGACATGACAGCTGGGWAGTTAACACAATGTTGAATGCCAGAGATTACCAAGGTAAAAAAACAWACAGTCGTTTTTTCATAGATTTTCTTTGTCAATTTGTTGCTGGAAGGAAAAAGTGTTTCATATCCTGTATGTTCTTTAAAGTGAAAGTAGTTCATTGGGAATTACCCTGTCCAGTATAAAGGGGAAATAGTATGCTTATAGTGAACATACCAAGGTCATGTACATGTGTTTACTCTTAATAGCGATTTTCATCAAYTTTATGTGTTATTTTTCAGGTTTTTCAGCTCTACATCTTGCTGTGAAGGCAAACTGTTTTGATGCTATTTCATTGCTTGTCARTCTTGGTGCAAATGTTGACCTTCAGGTARGACTAATYTGTTTTGAATTTTTCACTTTCTTWTTTGATTTAAAAAGGATCTTCAAATACAAATACAGTGGATTTATGATATTAATGCTTATAATTTGGATCCAATTCCAGGATGGTACATCAGGAAGAACAGCTGTACATCTTGCTGTAGAAAGTGACAATCTAAGAATGCTGAATTTCCTACTGCATAACTGTAGTGCATCTGTTAATGCTCAAAGACATGACGATTGCACAGCATTACATATTGCTGCCGGCCGAGGTATGCTTGCAATGACTGGACGGCTGCTGGCTGCTGGTGGGGACCTGTCAATCCAAAATAGCGATGGTGAAGCTCCACTAGATCATGCAACTCCAGAGGTTAGTTTTGTTTTTTAAACTAAATTCATACTTTCTTATTATGTTGAAATGAAAAAAAAATTATTTTTTTATGATTTTTAAGCCAAAAGATTATTACGATACTTTTTGACTAATACTTTGTTTTATATTTAGATCCTAAATACGCTGAAAACTCTGCTGTAAACTGGACATTAACATGAGGAGCAGAAAATTATTCGATTGGATAYCATGTAGGTGACTTTTGGAGASAATCTGATTACTCTCTCCCYGCCACGAGGAGAGGCAGAGGCTAAGATGTTGAGCCACATCTATCCCTATCATCCTGAGATAGGTGCTACCCTGTTCCCCATCAAGATCAAGAACTGTGGAACAAAGAACAAAATGGCTCATACTGGAGAAAATGCAGACAGAGTCTCAATGACATTATAGAAAATGAAAATCACTGTTTATGGCAAATGAACAACAATGTATATATCTGCAATCCTATTTTTTTGTAGCTTACATAAACGGTACATCCATGCGACTTAATTATTCACACAGAAATAAAGGTTTTTTAATAAAATACGAGGCTAACAGCTAGAATAGGGAGCATGAAAAAAAAAAAAAACAGAGGAGACTTAGTGAGGGCAGGTATATAGGGCTTGCTGTCGCTTTATGATATAATATTGCATAAGTGAATGAATATCAAGAAATTATAATGTACTATGTTTTTGATATTGAATCATTTGTTTTCTTCACACAAGTCCAGATTTTAAAAAAGGGTTAAGCCAGTTTCAAATCTTATTAGCTCAGAGTGACAGTCAAAACGTAATTTGAACAACTGTTTTGCAAAATAAAAGCATATTGACAACATTACATTTGTTTCTTTAAATGGAGTGAATGAAAGAGATTAATGTAATTTAAAAAAAAGGAATAAATCATACTTCATCGAATGGGAATGGGTATAAAGTTAAAACCTTACCTGTATGTGCGTCATGGGAGCATAGTTAATATCAACTATATTATTATATATATGTAGTGATGTGAGATGATTGCATCATGTTTTGGGCTTCCTATGTAACTACCAACCGTCAGTACACTGGCACCCATTAAAAATCGCGGGCTCAAGCCGGTAAAAGCTGATGCAAGTTTGAGTAAAAAAGAAAAACACTGTTTATATTCTATTGAATGCATGCTGTTTACAGAAGGAACTTGATCAATCGTTCTTTTTATTGCTTGAAAACAAGGATATTTTCGAAAAGAATTATGGCAACAAGTACAGAGGATGGAAATGGCGGGACTTTGGAGGAGAATTTTGAACAGGTCGTCACAATGGAAACCGTAGTGGCTGCAGATAACAAGGGGATCGACTACAATAAATTAATCAGTAAGTGTTAGAATTGGTGAGATTGACGAAGTATTGCATTCTAGAAAAGGTTATGCTATTTTGAGACCAAAAAAAAATTGCGCCTGTTCATCTTGAACCACTTTGCTTTTCATTTTAAGTTACATGTATTGTAAATTTCACTTTCGCTTTTTACTTTCAATTCATTTTCATTGTTCTAAAACTTTCAAAAGCTGAGAGATCCAGGTCCGGTTGTACAACAGTATGGATAAAGTTATTCACTTCGTAGATTTTGTGAGGATTTTCGCCACTGGGCAGATAAAGCATTTTATCTGAGACCAGGTGTACAAAGAGTGAATGACTTTATAAAATCCATAGAAAAGGCTACTGTTTTCAGCCATTAAAATCTATTCCTTCCATAGTTACAGTCGCAAAATGGAGCAAAGACTAATTAGGAGTTCATCTCTTCTTTTAACCATAAATTCTTTGTAGTTATTTATAATTTATTTATTTTTTATATCAATCAGGACAGTTTGGTTGTTCAGCTTTAAGTCAGTCTCATCTTGACAGAATAGAAAAGCTGACTGGAAAACCACCTCATCATCTCTTAAAAAGAGGGGTTTTCTTTTCTCACAGGTTAGTGTGAAATGCTTACCATTGCAACTGTAACTCCAGATTATACCTATTTCAGAAAACCCTTTAGTCCTCCTTTATGAAAAATAAAAATAAAGACTTTCAATCTCCATCAAATAGTTTTAGACAATTGTACTACAAGTAATTATAACCATTCAATGGTTTCTGGCATGCTATAATTTAATTGATAATTTCATTGTATTTCAATGCAGAGACCTAGATGCCATGCTGGACATGTATGAAAAAGGTCAACCATTTTACCTTTACACAGGCAGAGGACCATCTTCCGAGTCCATGCATTTGGGCCATCTTATTCCTTTTATTTTCACAAAGTAAGAGAAAAGTTTTGTGCCTTAAAAAGGTGATGTAATCTTAGTTAGAATAAGAGAAAAGTGGATTTAAGGCACTCTGAAACTTAAATCATTTTTGCCTAAACATCTGGGGTTTGTGGCAGAGCGATACTGTGACCCAATCCCCTTCAAGAAAGACTGATTCTTGGGCTACCTAAATACATTTCTTGTCAAGTCTCAAAAAAAGATAGCAATTTTTCATATGTGAGAATATAGCTTCCTGGATGAACGTAACTAGAACATTTAAAATAAAAAATAAGGCTTAGGTTCTTTAATGAAGTTGTTGAATCTATCAATTTCATTATTTTGTTTTCAGATATCTACAAGAAGCCTTCAATGTTCCTCTTGTTATACAGCTGACAGATGATGAAAAGTTCTTTTTAAAAAAGCACTTGGATATAGATGAAACATACAGACTGGCTTATGAAAATGCTAAGGATATCATTGCTTTAGGCTTTGATCCAAAGAAGACTTTTATCTTTTCTGATATTGATTACATTGGGTAAATGTCATGACTGGATGCTGTAATTTGTTTTYTCCCTCTGCCATAGATGGATAAATGGATTGACGAGTTTGATTTTGATTGGATTGATTTGGATCTACAAAGATCCACATAAATCAAGGAAAAATTGAAATACAGTAAGACCCTACATATAAAAACAAGTCGATTAGGAACACCCAGCCAATTTATGAAGTTTTAGGTACCATGTAATATTGGCCAAAAGAGAAGAGTGAATGATACAATGATTCAGTGATGAAGAAAGTCAGTAAAAATCGAGATCTACATTGACATGAATGTTCTTTGTATTGTAGGAGCAGCTCTGATTTCTACAGAAACATCTTACGAATCCAACGATGTATCACTTTTAATCAAGTCAGAGCAACATTTGGATTTGTTGAAACTGATAGCATAGGTAATATACTAGTGTTGGTAGAAATTTTAAAGTTTATTGGCATGTTGTTTAAATCTACATACATCAATCTGCAGGTAAAATTGCCTTCCCCGCCGTACAAGCTGCACCAGCATTTTGTAATTCATTTCCTGAAACATTTGGAAGAAGAAAAGACGTTCCTTGCTTGATTCCCTGTGCTATTGACCAGGTAAGCTAGTTACTGGCCCTTCACTTTGAAGCWGTACAGCTCTACATAATGTCCTTAAATGAGATTCTAACAAGATGTTTCAAGTTTTTGCCCTCTAAGGAACTTTTTGTCAATACAATTTGTCAGGAATTAAATGCTCACGCTTCCCACATAAGTGGAGAAAGCACAAAAGCCTGTACAACCCACAATCATTCTTTTTCTGCCTATATTAACTCATTAAGTAGAGAAATAAAATAACAAATGATATACTTTATGATCACTTCTTTTAGGATCCTTATTTTAGGCTTACAAGAGATGTAGCTCCAAGGGTTGGTTGTCACAAGCCATCTTTGATTTTCTCCACTTTCTTTCCTGCTCTTCAAGGAGCCAAGACAAAGATGAGTGCCAGTGATCCCAATTCATCAATTTTCCTTACAGACACACCAAATCAGATTAAAAAGAAGGTAAGTTTACGATTGGCTGGTCAATTTTTTTTAAAATACAGTCATGATTTAGTGAGTAGTCTTAGTAATACTGTAACTTACAAATTAAAAATTATGCAAGATTAAAAAATTGTTTTCTTAAAAAAGTTGCATCATCACAGCCAAAACTGATGTAGAACATGGGATGTGCATTTTGTGTACAACTAGTTCAACAGTGTGTACTAACTGACACAGTTATAGAGTTGTACACTACTGTTAGAACAAAGATTGTGACACTGACAGGCAATACAAAAATGAAGATGTCCAGTAGTAAGAACAATAGGCATTGTTTAACATAATCCTACAATTCTTTGTCTTTGTTGTCTCGACCAATCACAAGCTTTGTTCTGACGGTAGTGGTCTACCCCATTATATGCACAATATAAGCATAATAATGGCAATATTATTTATTGCTTGTCTTCCCATGCTTCAAATGGGTTTTTAATGACYTAATCTTTTGAAACAAACAATTTTTTTTTTGCTATAACATTATAATATTGTGATGATTTCATTCATAGATCAACAAATATGCCTTCTCTGGTGGAAGAGACACAGTAGAAGAACACAGAGAGCTTGGTGGGGATCTGGAGGTTGATATTCCATACAAATACTTGACATTTTTCTTAGAAGATGATGAAAAGTTGGCACAAATAAGAGAAGTAAGAAAACTTGTATGTGATTGGTGCAGAACAGATAATAATGTCAACTGTTGAAGGAGYTGAAGTTATGCGAGTATTATAAAAATTCCCAAATACCAAAATTATTCTTCATCAACATAATTAACACCCTATTAAAACTATTAGTGATTCATTAATCCATTTATCACAAAACTGTTCMTTTCTATTCACCAGGACTACTCAACAGGTAAAATGTTATCTGGAGAAATCAAGAAAGAACTTATCCAAGTTTTGCAGCCAATTGTGGCTGCTCAGCAGGAGAGRAGAAAACATGTGACAATGGAYGTTGTAAAAGAATTTATGAAACCAAGAAAACTWGAATTTCCTGGTCTTAAGGAAGCTAAATAAATCGTTGTAATAATCACAAAATAATTAAAGAAATGAAAAATAAAGTACAGAAAGTATAATGCAYGGTCTTGCTTGGGCTTCAAAGCCAATTCTTGTTTAGAATGTTAATTATTTTTGGCTTTGTACATAAGTATTTACAATTCATATTACGTTTAACTACAAGCAACCATTTATTACAGCCTAAGAAACTAAAGTGAAGCTTTCATCAGGTGACAACCTCATTTTTCTCATTGCTTGGACTCTGTTTAGGAGTTCTTGGCTTTTCACCCTCGTCCTTAGAATCCCCGTTCTCAATGCTTTCATTAGCTTTAACTACCAAAGAATCRTTAATGAGTTCAACTAAGTCTTCGTGGATCGGATTCTCTGCAAGGACAAGCTCTTGGAGTTTTTTACAATATGTCTGTATGCTACTTGCCAATAGTTTAGCACCTTTATCTGTTATTCCTGTWCCTTCAAGATCAAGCCTTTCTATGTGCTTATTTGCTGCCATGGCAACTGAAAATATTCCTGCTCCATAATCACCAAGGTGATTGTAATCCAAGTAAAGGCCTCTAATTTGTGAACTTGCTGACATTGCCATCGCAAGTTGAGTCCATCCATAAGCTGTGACATTTGGATTAGCAGAAAGAGTGAGATCTTGAATACCTTCTTTGTCATCTGACGGTTTAAGAAGTGTGCAAATATGCTTTATTCCGTCATCTCCAAYATGACAGTCTCCCAGGTCTAGTGACTGTAGATTTGGATGAGAACGAAGTGCTGGCAACAAAACTTCAATGCCATGGTCTCCCAAGTGAGTCCCATGTAAACTGTTGAAAAAATAAGCCTGTTATTAAACAGTAACTTAGCTGTATGGTGAGAAAAAAAAGAAAACATACAATGGACACTGTACATGTATTTMTTTTTCACTCTTTTAAAAATGACACATATCTTAGATAATATATTGTTCTCGTATATAATCAATTCTTTTAATTTTTTGTCAAGGTTGGGCCTTGTTATTCATTTTTAATAGAGAAATTCAGGGAATTTAAATATATCATAACTTTTTATTCCCCAGAGATGAATTCCCCAATAAGGATCTATGGTAAATCGAATCGCCATTTAAAATATTTAACTTATCTATAAGGTGTTTAGATGCGTGTTGTCATGCTCATTCTCAATTTTGAATGGCAGCCGATATCAAAAATTAAATTATRACAATTTTACACAATAACGTTCAAAATTTGTTCAACTCGGTGAAATACAGCAACAGTGAGCTTAAATGTCGAAAAACTATTAATGAGTCAACAAGGTAATTTGTACATGACACCAAAACACGACCGAAATGACCTCTAATATATGTTTACTTACAACAAAGCGTTCAGCGACTTATTCCCCGTGAGAGCCTCGGCTAACCATCGTATYCGTTGCTTTCCATTACAAATTCCAAGATTGAGGTTTAGCTGAACAAGTGTATCGTTCTCTTTGACGCTATCCACCAGTTTCTTGAAGTCGTTGTCCTGAACAGAGCACTCGCGAAGTGATAGAAGTCGAATGCTATTATCCCGWAGAGATTCGCATATGCTCTGGACTTCKGGTTCTCCAAGTGTTTCTCCAGTAATCTGCACWGTRCCTAAAAGCATTTTTCCTTTTCAAGCRCCCTTTAAAGTGACCTGACCAGTTATTTCTGAGGTGAAATGTTTCACGTCTTGTGTCATGGAGACGGACATTTACATTTGCATATTCACAGAAAATATACCAGGCGTTCCTTGGGGCTTCAAACGCCAAAGGGAGCCCAAACAAATAWATCTGTTTGACTTCTCAAAAGTTTGAAAACAATGTTTTGAAATGTTATTTTCGCAAACTTAACCTAAAAAATGTGTAGTGTATTATTTTATTCACTGATTGAAGCCCTTATTGTATTACTGTATAATTTCTTGGGTTCTCTATGCAACCAAATGCGAWGTGGTTGTTTACTCTCTCTGTACAACAACAGATAGGCCTTTTGCATGAAACGGTCACATGGTACAAAATCCGCCATACTGGATGGCAAAAGAATGTAAACAACCTCAAAAACAAAAGGAACGCAGCCCGTSAAGCTTGACTTTTCTTTGTTTTGAAAATCCCAGTGGGTATTTTGCCATCCAGTATGGCGGATTTTGTACCATGTGACCGTTTCATGCAAAAGGCCTATTGGATGGAATCTCCTTTTGATAGTTGAAAAGAAATGTTTATTTTGTGAAAAACAATATGTACCACGCTTACAAGTGGATGATTTTAAAATACCATAAAATTTGACATCAAATTACATTACATTTTGTAAAGTATAACTTCATTAACAGAGGCAAGGTGCTATGTGTCGTCACCTATATARCCCTCTTCACTATTCTGAGACCAAGTCTCTCCATCATCGTCTCCTGAACCATCRATGCCTTCACCAGAACCYCCAGTAGTGTCCAGGTTCAGAGGTGGTGAAATGGATATGTTACCTAAAAGGCAAACAAGTTAGATGAATGAAAAAACCTTTTGCATGTTATATCAACACAGCTTTATCTTGAGGTTCAAAAAAAAGAACTTTGCTCTTTTAAGCCAAGCTTTCACTATTGTTACAAGGACAAATGCGGAGGCAAGCGCAAGAAGTTGTACTTGAGTTATGTATCTTGTCCTATCTTCTGCTTATCACAGCATAAAGAAGGCCTCCTGTTTTTGTGCTTGCTTCTGTATTTGCTGTAGCAACACAATTAAAAACCAATCTTTGGAAWATAAGACTGCATACAAGTGTTCTATACCAATAATGTGTGACGTTAAAAAGATAATTTCCCAGGGGAAATAATGATATAGCTTGTGATGTATAAATTATTACTTACATAGCGCACTAACTGGTCTAATAGTATTCGTAAAATTATTTGCTTTGGACACCAAACTGTAATTCCTGGAGCTATTTAACCTGCAAATGAACATATTACATAAATGAAATAAATGTAAGCATAAAAAGACTTATCACAATATGTCTATAACTTAAATTGACCCATGTGACACAATGACTCAAGTGCACTCAATTTGTATAAAAGCCTAAACAATCTTGGCAAAATTACAGTGTGGTCAAAGCAGAGAACAGTACATCTCTTACTACAATATCTACTCTATGTGTGCTTATGTCGCACAAGTATAAATAATACTTGACAAGAAGACACAGGAAACCCAAGGGCAAAACAACATTCATTCTTGTTTATAATAACTTACATTCCTGCTTCTTTTAAACTTGTTCTTAACGATACTGGCGTAGCGGTTTTTACTATAAGAGATAAGCAACATTATAGTCGACGGAATTTATAAGCTTATGCAATATGTTCTGTAATAAGATTCAAAGTTACCTGACTTTGAGCCATTGAGACATCTGAGTACAAGCCTTGAGGACGGCTAAAACATTAAACATAGCTATTTAAAAGCTATTTAATATACAGATGAAAGAGTTGGTGCCTCGGAAATATAATGTAAAGAAAAATGGACATCTTAATAATTTAAGCTTAGATGTTCAATCCAGACGTTTCGCCCGCGGTAAGGGCTTCATCAGTGTGAAAATAAATTACAAAGATTACAAGATCCTAAACCGTTGTAAAGCCATTGGCAGTATTTAATATACTGTAATGATACAAAACAAAGAGCTTACATTGACGTTTGAAGGGTTTCGAAGAAGAAAGCGTACACAACGTGCGGCAGCCGCCATCTTGAATGCTTAGATCACGTGGTTTGCTGTGGCAAAGGTAACCCAAGCAACGTTTTTAAGTTGTAACTGAAAGCTTACTGATTTATTTTGTCCCACTCAGTTACACAACACTTGTAAAAGGGTCAGTGAAAAGCATCGTAACAGCTTTGTTAAAATGTCAAATTTTCAGACAGGAACACATTACTGGTTAGTAATCCTCGCGCGCTCCGGACCGTCAAATAATGAAAAAATACTCAGTCGAGGACTTCATGTGACTCAGGCCAGTAAGAGCTATTTAGTAACTTCAAATACAGTATTTTCAGTATACACTGCAAGGAAGAAGAACGTATTCTATAAATACTCAAGAGCCGTCAATTCCCAGGGGCCCTAAGGAACCTATTGTGATAGTTGATCATTCCCGCATCCCGTGGGGCCTGACACCAGGGCGCCCTGTCCCTCCCTACAGTAAACATATCCATTTGAAAGGTTTGGAAAAGGGATTTTTATCACAACATGGAGCAGTCCTTAGAGCTTTAATTTAACTGTAGTCAAGGACATCTTTCTGTATCTGTTGACTTACAAACTTCTCGAACATTTTCTTTGGTAAACTTAAGAAATATTACTGAATAATTATTTGATAATTAATGTTAACCCATTTGCCCTTTTATATCACAAAGAACGAAAATGTGAAGCGTTCGAGAGTAATGTTGGAGTTTAATCCCGGGAAATCTTTGGCAACAGCTTGTATCTGCCAGCCTGCTTAGCAGCGTTAAGAATTTCGAGATATTTTTTTCGTGGTGTTCATCCGAATACTAGTAATATCTATCGGATATAAGAACTGTACACCTTTTCCTGTGATGATTTGGAAAACAATAACAACAACTGAACAGCTCGGTGAAAACCGTCACAGTTCATCGAGTAAATCGGTATTCGGACGCAAACCAGCACCCACCCGTCCCATCCCCACCCCCATCAAAAAAAAAATATCCACTGAAGAATTATTATGCAAACCCTGTGTCGTTTGCTAATTTCTGAGCTGAGCTGTGATTGGCTCTCTGCTCCCTAAGGATTTTGGTGACGTCATATATTACCTTAGAACTTCACCGAATAGACTATCCCGATTAGGCATTTGATATCTATAAGTGTCTTCATAGTACGATGGTCTAAGAGGGTAGCTAAAGGTATGCTCTAGTGGGCGGCTACCCCCTCACTCCCTGACCTTTTGGTTAAGACTAAGTTTTATGTTCACTCGGGATAGCGTGGAAGAGCCGAAATCTCTAACCGTAACGTAAGCCGATTCGACGCCTCAGCTTCATAGAATGTCTCGGGGGAATCGTCCCATCTTTTTAGTCTATTTTTTTCATTATTTCTTATGTATTCCGGGGGGGGTACATCTTTTCCTAAAGTTAAAGTCCTGAGTTCGAGCCCTGGTGCTGGAATTTCTCTTCTTTTTTTTTTTTCTTGTTTCTTTTTCTTTTGTTTTCTGTTTTCTTTTCTTCTCTCTTTCTTCTCTTTTTCTTTTATTCTTTGCTGTTCTTTTTTTCCTCTATAGATTTTCTCTTTTTAATTTCAAATCAAACATATCAAGAACTCGCAAGGAACACCTGCTACACGTGGATGGTTACCCTTCGATCACTCAAAATGATGACATAGTGACGAGAGGGCCCAATAAGGCCTTTCGTCACAAAAATACATGACTCCAGTGTTGAAATAGAAGTGTTTTATTGCTCTGATAGTATTATACTGAATATTTGAATGTGAATCAGTGTGAATGTCATTATGAATGCTTATTATTATAATCCCGGGATTATCATAGTCAAGTTGGCATTTCTTTAAAAATTGAAGTTACTGTTACTGTTCATCGGCCCACATAAGGGACTTAAGTGTGCGAATAATGTAGGTGTGCATCGCCACGATAAAACTGATTGACGCTACTGATAAATATATATGCGATACAACATTTTTTGCATGTTTGTGCATGCTTCGAGCGGTTTTAGTTCAGCTTTGTTTCTGCGGTTTCGTTGCGGATTTTCTTAAAAAATGAGAACAAATCTAGAAATAAAAGAAAAGGTAAAGTAATAATTGTATATTTGTAGTGATGTAGTTTAAATGATAGCTAAATCTATCGTCAGGTCAGAAAAAGCTGGCTAGATATTGCTTTACCTGCTCCAGCTGTTCCATAAGAGCCAAATGCATTTTTGCCCATGGCTTCTTTAGATCTATTCGCCTGAGAGATGATGTACCTACAATTGTGAAATCACATATATAAAAAAGCAAATAAACACGGCAGAAAATTCCTTATTATAACCAAATTGCTTTCAACCAATGAGAAAATGCGATTCAGCTGCCATGAGTTTTGCGTGCTAATTAAATTTATCAAAAGTAAACATGATATATACTTACCTTGCAACCACCCTCATGTGGGCGTTCCTGAATTCTTGCAACGCCTCGACGGATTGATTGAAGATCTCTGTCAAGTCCTGGTTTTCTTTCTTCAAAACTATAAATACATAGAAAGTTGAACATGGACAATAAATTCATATTCATAAATTCATATTCATAAATTCATATTCATAAATTTGTGTCATTTTCACAGTACAGTTTTCATATCTTCCTTACTGGCGAAAAGACATACCGTATTCTCTGACTGATGGTCCGTTTTCGAGTACAGTGATGAAGTCCCTGTGCTTTGGAGGCATATAGCGTCTCATTTTTTGAAGATGATGCTCCTCGCCTGACATTAAACAAAATGTGTAGACTTCTGTCATTTATAAAGCGTTTTCATTCATGTTAACAAAGAATAACTCACCATTCTCGGTTGCATGTGTTACGCCCAAAATGGCCTCAATGGCGGGAAAGGCAGAGCATTGCGCCGCGCTCCCACCTGAATACTGAAATGTATACATAATGTTGAAGACAGTTGTCCAAGTTGAATACAATTTTTTTTGCGACAGATCGTGAATTATCATGGTTGACTACAATCGTAAGCTCATACAACTTACCTTTTTAGGTTTGGTGTCAACACCTTCATATATCAGCCCATCTGGAAGTGACGATCCTTTGTGGCCCCACCTGAAACAAGGAAATTCAAAAATATGGTTATAGGTAGCCTGCGTGGAGCCACTAACTACGGATGCAGCCGAACCAATAATAGTTATAAGATGACCCTTCCTTCAATCATTGTTTTGGGTTTCCTGTGTACGTATATATGATAGGAACAAAGGAACAGAAAACAAAAATCCTAAAACCAAGTTGAGCTTTAAGGTGACCCTAGCCCAATGCAATGTCAGTAGCTTTCGACTACACAAAAATGGTATAAAATCATATTACGGCTTACCCACTTAGGAAAGGTCTTAGCACGAAATAGTATTCCTTTGGATCACACATTTCTATTAAGAGACCCATCAATGATATCAATCAATAACTAATGAAGAGATACAAGATACAAATTTTATCTATGTTCAATTTCAAGGTTGGATCCTTTCTTACCATGAACTTTCAAGAATGCTGACTTCATGTTTTCAATCACGTGATGTATGACTTTCATTGCATCAATTAGTTGGAGCACATCATCGTCAAACGCAGCCTAAAACAAACCATGGACTTTTATTTGAATCATGACCCCCCTGATATTTCACACATGCAGCTTAAAAGGCAAAATAACTTGCACAGTTTTTAACTTGGACGAATGTCTGTCAGTCTGAATATTAGTTTGAACACGATAAAAACCTTGAAAAAAAGCTTGAACAACAACAACAAACAAACAATACGAAACAATCGCGCAAAAACTGATTAAGAAATATTTCGACTGAAGTTACCTGTTGAGCTTTGATCAAAGCCTGAAACAAATGTATAACAAAAGCATTTCTTAGTCTCCTCGCAGCCGTTCTTAGTCCCACGGGGACAGGGAGCCCGCCACCAAGAACGGCTGCGAGAAGACTAATCATTTCTACTCATAGCTGTAATGAAAATCGATGAATGGTTTACGGATTGAAGCCATGTTCGTCTTCGGAACTATGATTGAGAGGTGCATCACACATACCCGTGCAATATATAAAACAGCACGTCCATAGAGTATTGTATTCCATATACTCTGACGCGTCACATATCTTCCTAACGATTTTTACTTTACCACTGTARTCACAAACTTTTTTGAACGCTCTCTGCAAGTTTCATTGGCTAACAATTGTTTATCACCATGATACATGCACATACCTTTGGTCCTCCTTTGCCAAATGCTAGTTCCACCAAAAAACCCGTTTTGAAGAAACCTTGTTCAGTTTTGGTGCCAGTAATAGTATTGATCAACTCTATGTCGCTAAAAATGTAAAATATCAGTTAATAAACATAATGTGCTTTAATTTAATCTATATGTGACAATATGAATGGATTAAATCGAAAAATTCTGGCAATATGAATGTAAACCTTTCGTTTGGACCAATTTTCCTCCAGTTGCAATTAGTCTGTGAGAAATGCGTCAAAACAGGATGCATATCTGCAAGAAAATACAGAAAAAAAGGTAGAATTACCACTTTTGTGGATAATCGCAGGTCATAATTTTGTCATTATATCGTATAGATTTGCTGGGAAAGACATAACGTAACATTATGTGAACACAAAATAAACTTGTATAGTCTGTTGGGTGAGGGTAGTACATTTCTTGATACATTCATTACGTAATAGTGCTTACAGGTATTTTCCTACATGGTATGTATGACAAAGAGAAAAAATATCAAAAAGGCGAATGAGCGTTGAGTAATGAATTCTTCACCCTTGAATGCACCTGTCAATCACTTCAACACTGCAGTGTTACCTAAATGCCTTGCAACGCTAAACATAGGAACGGCAATGTTCTTGGGCAATACCTATAGAGAGAACCATATGATTCAATGCGCTGTCTTGTGAGGTAATTAAAGGGAACGTCGACACTGCTGATTAAACGCTAGCTAGAGAGCTGTGTCTTTCGCACCACTGTATGATTAAACCTCTAAATCTGATAAATTCTTTATTGAATATAATACCTTAGCTGCTTCATTCTCTCCTTGACACCAGACAAAAGTATGCGCCATGGTTATAAGAAGCAAGTTAGCCCTGTACCATTCTTCTTTACTGGAAAGAAGACTGTGGTCTAACAGCGGTAGCTGAAGAAAAGAGTAGCAATCTTAGTGGGCTGAATTTTTGCGCAGTAGAAAGATTGCAAAGTGTTGTCAAAAGTGGGGCGTGTGGGAGGAAGGGGGGTAGATCTCATTTCCACTAAGAAAATAAATAGAAAAAAAGACATGAACTATTAGGGATTGTGGAAACCATGCATTAATAGTGGAATAGCAAAGAGAAGAGGTCTATAGCTAACGTGCACTTTCAAGATACAAACCTTCTCCATGATGTCACGAGCATTCATGCCGTCTTTAATCATCTGAGGGATGTCATCGCACACTTTTTCCCACGGGCTGAAATACTCTGGTAATCGTAACTTTAAAAGAACGCATATTAAAATGGTTTTCCATTGAAACTTGAAAAATATATGAGGCAAATATGAAATAATGTCATGCATGTATTCTTACCAATGGTCTTTCTAACAGGAATCCCATGGATGGAGAAATGTCATAGTCCTCCAGCTGAATTAGTTTTCGTCCGTCCATATTTGCTTTCTGGAAATCAGTGTTAGCTAATCAATAATGGTTAGGAGGAGCTGACGGGTTCCTGGGAGAAATATATCTGTTCTTATCCTCCCACAACCGGGTTGCCCGCGAGAAATTCAGGAAAAAAGAACTCTCCAGGCAAGGAATAGTTTCTAAGAATCTTTGCCAGGAAAATAAAAATTCCCTACAAAAAAAAACAAAAAAATAAGCCGTGTTTGAAGATAAAAACGTCATGTAAGCCTTTTTTGACCTAAAAACGTTTGCCAGGAACAAAATTAGTTTAAAGAAGAAAGAAAGGAAAGGCGCCACATTTGCTTGTGAGATTGCCGTCAACAATGTAGCTCAAAAATCCCTTTCCCAGGCAAAAATTCGTCAAGAACAGTTATTTAGAAGRACAGACCCCGTTGGCTCCCCCTGAATGGTTATGACAACATCGACAAGGATATTTTCATTATGACACCGCATATAAGTGTAAGGGGGTTACTAGCTTTAGTAGAGTCAAGTCTCACGAAGAAGTACTTCGACAAGATGTTTATTTCCAAGAGGATCTTTACACTCTTAATATCTTCTAACAACTGAACTTTACAATGTTGAAGCAGATAAACAGCGCAGTAACGAAACTATTACTAGCCTGTTTCCCTATTGCATATTATTTCCAACAAAAGTATGAAATCAAACATTCTCATTGGTCTCCAGGTTAAGTGAAGTACTCATTAACATCTGTGACAGGATAAACAAATGGTGTTTGTAAGAAATAATTCTTGTATGATTCGGACCAAAGTTCTTAGTTACTGAGTTGTATTGATAGTATAAATTGTAATACGAAACCTTTTGTGAAGTTAGTTTTGGCCTATCCCGTAAGCCTATCMCGTAAGATTGACCAATGAAATTGCCTGTATTTCACTTAATTACCAGATATGTTTTGGGTAACTTTTGTCAACTGTTGGTACTCTAAGAACATAATTGAATTTTGTACAAACTTGTACAACAAAAGAGCTTTTGTTCTTAGACTGTTGATTTTGAACTCACTGCTTTATTCATTATTTATTTTCCATTACGACCAACCGCTAGTTAAGTTTATAGGTCGGGGAACTGCTGAACCCTGTCTACACAACAAGGAACTTCATGCCTTATTTCTAGTCCAATATTGTCGTGGGTTAATTTACGCCCCTCAGGCTTTAAAACCTTTTATGAGAAGATTTAATAGGCTCCAAGAGAGTTAAGTGTGACTTCACGCCTTAGGAGCATCTAGTTGTTATCTAACTTTCTATTATAGCTATCATAGTACGAGCTCTCTGATTGGTCAAATTATATTGTTTATTTCAACGGTAAAAGCACGGATGCGAAAATGCTATAATATAAAAGCATTATACAACCGATATTTTAGTGCGTTCCTAGTGAAATGAGCCACTTGGGATATTGGGAAAATACTCAAAAGGCTGAAAATCTCTCGTCTCAGCTCCGGCTCAAGATTTTTTACGCCTTTTCAAGTGTTTTACCCAATATATTTAATTTCGCYAGGAACGTACGAAAATGTATTTTTTCTTGCTTAATTAATTGACTTTCTAAATCCAGCGTTTTCTTCATGTTTTGCTGCTAAAGCTGCTTAGCACTGAATGACGCCTTCGTTAGATGGTCACCTATACACAAGCTAGCAAGCATCAGTACTATAACACAAAGACTAATGTAAAAAACAGCAATCTGTGCATGCTGTAAATGATATGACGGCAAGAAAAGAACGATGATTTTATCATACTATATTGGTCAACGTTCACAACGTCAGGCTACGCGTCCTTGCGTCGTCAGTCCCTACCGGACACTCCCTTGACGATCAGGCCTTCGTTCTTTAATTTTATCATCCATGCACCAGAAACGTAAGTGTTTTAGATAGCCTTCTCAACAACTAAAATCTAACGGGATTCCTTGTGTAAATTGATTAATTTTCAGTTAAGATATATTCCATTAGTTTGATTTCAGCTGTTTTTCTGCTAAAAATATCACAAGAATGTCAAGCAGAACCGCGGTCCAATATGTTGTTGATCTATAAACGAGCTCGAAGTGCAAATCGTTAGAGACCTGGATATATACTTGTCAGTAGTCTTGTCAATAAAATCGTGAGAGGACTACGGTGATTATGATTCTAGTACAGACTGTTCGTTGATATGTCCAGAAATTACTAAATGTTCGTGGATTTCAAATCATCTGTTAATAGAATCCCTGCAGTTTTTTTGTACAAAAGTCCTGTTAATTGAATAAACGAATTTGTGGAATATGATTAACAATGAATCCATTTTTTTGCACAACAATGTCATGCTACTCAGAAAAGACCAAATCAGGGATTTTAACTATAATCTGTATTCCTTAATGTCTTAGTTTTTCAGTGTGCTTAACTGCATGTTTTCATCTATGTGCGCATGCCTGGAGGGCATCATTACGGATCATTTTTAACTAATCATTGTTATACCTAAACAAACTGCCATGTAATAAAACTGCGACACTAGTAGATCCGGGCCCTCGCATTGTCAAAAAACATCAGGTATATTCCATAAACGCTACAAAAGTTTCGCAACAATCGGTTTTACTGCTAATCCGGTTCTTCCTAGTTAGATATGGCTATTGTTCTAGAGCTGCACTTCTTACTAAGATTTTTTTTTTCAAAAACTCTYACCTGTTGCGTTCTTCTCTTCCTCAATTAAAACGAGACACAAGTAGTGCAAATATGGTTTTAAAAGCCACTTAACCTCTGTTGAGAATAAGAATTAGTACTTGAATGCGAGTTGTGTTCCAGTCATCAAGCAAGAGTGATATTAGGCAATGACGAATTACAACGATTATATATTGCGTGCAGTAGCAATGAAGCGAAGATTTGACTACTTGAGTTAATAATCGGACCCTCCGTAATTACCTCTCTGAGTTGATTTGCAAACACGACGTCATTTGTTTACAGTGTGGGTGCAAACATAGCGAATGGCTATTTCTACAAAAACGAATTCGCACACCCTTTTCATTTCATTCGGGTTTAATCTGTTCAGTGCAATGGATTGGCCGTGTCTATATCTTTCAAAAGATGCAAATTCTGCGMTTTGACAATAAACTCAGCCGAAAGGACTTTCAACTTTACCCATCATCTTGTTTTAACATCTTAGGTGCGTTTAGGTCCCAAATTGCGTGAAAATCAAGAGCGCAAAAAAAATTCCAAAGTATGGGCTTCCTGTGTTAGAGAAAGCGATGCCTTGTGGGTAAAATTTCAAAATGGCGGCTGCATCAGCACGTTGTGTAAGATCTCTCTTAAAATCCTCGTGTACTTTAGGCGTAAGTTATCCGTTACAATCTTTATGTATTACATATATGTAGCGATAAATATGAATGTTTTTTTCCTTGGTTTTCAGAGAGCTGCGTCTTCTACAAATACTTTAATCAAAGGTACCAAGACAAATCTTCGGCATCAAGACACCTTTTCAGTTGCACTTAGGCCTCGATAGCAAGTTAATTATTCTTTTAAATTTGACAAATGAGACTATTCATATCAATGTTTGCATTGCTCACATTTCTACCAATTCAAAAGAATATTTAACACGCTTTCGAGGCCTAAGAGCAACTGAAAAGGTGTAGTCGTGTGGTTTGTGATTTGGCCGTATTATTCGAAAACAGTGCGTCTTAAATATATTCCTATCAGTTTTTGATCTAAAATGCATTTACAATTTTAGGAAGGCAGATATCGTCTCTGGTATTAAGATCTTCGACTGCTGCTTTTAAAGACAGTGGACTGTAAGTAATATTTTATCCAACATGGCTGTGACATAAGTAATAAGTGACATAAATTATTCTGACATGCGGCCCAAGAAGAATCCATACTGCTCCAGTTGAGGAAATCCCTTGCTTTTATACACGAAACTACAGCATAACATTATATTTATTTGGAATATCCAATGACATGCATTATTAGTGAGGGTTTATTAGAATATTACAGTTTACCAAGGATTTATTTGATCTTTTTCCCACAGATTACAAAAAATTGCTAGAGATGCCATGGCCAAGAATTTAGCTAGAAGACATACTAGATTGTCAACTGCAGTCAGTAAGTATTTATCTACGATTGTCTCCATTCTTTCGAAATAATATTAGGTAGAGATGTGAGATGTGCTGATGTTTCCAGAGTTTATAATGAAAAATCTTTAGTAAAAGAACACATCTTCCGTTCTGTAAAAATGTGACAAACAATTGACGTTTTGAACCTTTTCCTTGTCTAAAAATGAGTATGATAATGACCGATGTCTGAAACATCACCAAGTGACTGAGCACAGAATGAGAWATTCAAAAAAAAATCCAAATAAGAATACTAGTATTTTAGGAATTCTTAAATTTTTCTACTCATCCAGGTCAACATCTGTTGGTAGCAACTGTGGACTTATCTGTTGAGGGAGGAGAGGGGTCTGGTGATGAACTTAGCATTGAAATTATCTCTGATGAAGATGATCAATTGAGAATTTAACATTGGCTTAATATTTCACTCTGACTAATTCAACTTGCTAAAAGTTAGTGAAAAGTATGAAGAGTTTTATATGTTGAATGGCGTTTTGACATTGTCATCCAATAACAAGCTAAAGTACTGTTTTAGTTCAAGGCTGTCTCCCTCTTCTTTTGCAACAAGAAGTCTGCAGTCTGTATTAGGTGATATAAATCAATAAAAATGTTATACGAATATTTCCTGAGTCCAAACAATGAGGTATTGCTTCGAAGGTTTATTGTCTATTGAGTTTTCATTAATTTGTTCATTTTTGTGTGATGTTAGGTTTGATTGCAAACCCAATTCCAGCAGTGATTATAAACAGTGAATCTGATGGCGACAGTGTTGACGGCCTGTTATTGGATGACGATGAAACATTTTCGTGCTTAGATGATGAGGCAATTCACAATGAGCTCTGACAAATGCCCTCACCAGAAACTTAATCTATGTATTTTAACAATTGTATTACCTATTAATATATATGTAAGTGAAAATTTCTATGCTGTATTTTTTGTTATTATTTCTCTTAGTCATTGTGAAATATTATTATTTATAATGGTTCTTTTTTACCTGAGTTACAAGTTATTATATTATTTTGTAATTTTATAAAAGGAGGTTTCTGGTGAATGATATTATTTTGGTTTAGCAAAGTTAATATTTTTTTAGTGTCCTTTTTTGGTGGATAGTCAGTTTTAAAGTAAATTGTGAGTATAGATTACTGGTTGAAATACTTTCTGTAATGTTTGTTATTATCATTAATAAAGATTTATCTCATCATGAAGTTGTTATCTTGCTCTTATACATAAAAATTTGTGAGGTTGTCTACGTCTTTCCTGCTTTTTTTAAGTGTACCAATGACACTGTCAAGTACAATACTATTATTAATAAAAACGGAAATTTAATCCTCACAAGGAAGATTGCATTATTACGGAATGTGGGTTTGTCATGTTTCAATAATCAGAAAGTAACTCAGTTTTCATTTCTTCAAGCTGAATTGACCTTCCCAAGTAAAGCATAAGTCCAGTGCATAAGATTATTTGAAAATCCACTATTATATGAGCTGAAAAGATTACTGTACAAATATATATCCCAAAGTCTTAATACTACGGTCACCATTATCGGGTGAGCAACGAGCCTCATTGCCGCAGCTATTGCTCTTGTCTTGACCACAGAGAACACCATCCATCCCAAAACCAATGCGTGAGTCACATGACCAACAATCGTTCTCCTGATTGGATACAATACCAATCCTTGCACGTGCAGCCACTATGTGGCTGAATTTGATATCGATATTAAAACCCTCCTTGTTGCAATGCTTCTGCAATGATCCATCCTTTACAAGCCCTTTCCATGCATCTCTACCAAAGTGAAACTTCTTGTATTTTCCATCGGCAATCACATCAAATAGTGATTTTGCGCGAAAGCGAATGCGTAAGAATTGGATCGAGTAGCGCGCAGTACGCATGCCCACACAGACATGATTAAAGGGTGCGGACCAGTAGGTTGCGAGTTTGGTCTCGTGGCGTCCAAATGCTGAAGTTCCATAATAGGGCTGGTATTCCTTTTTATTGGACCACAATGGTGACGAGTAAGTAAATGTTTTCTGCGATAAAGGATAGCTATTAGAGATGATTCTGACATAATGTAATGTGACGGTGACGTACACTATGAATGTGGTTGTGTTGTTGCAAAGAAGCGATCTGCTACCAACTTTGATAAAAGTTAACTCTCTACAGCTATAATTAGAATCAGTTCTTGTTATCATTGCACAATTATTTTAATTATATAAAGTATGGATAGATGAAAATATTAAAAAACAAAACGTAAAATGTCTAACTAACCTTGTTTCCATCGAGTTTCATAACAGAAGTCCATCCACCTCCACCGCACTTCCCCAGGTTTTCCATATGGCAATAAACACGACTTTTACGGCCTGGTGTGTCTGTTAACACGTAGTAAGCACCACTTCGGACATGACTGTGAAAACCAGAAAACGTTGTTATGAGACCTGGGATGGTGGGTGACAGGCGTTGTCAGGAGGAGGGGGGGGGGGGRGAAGCGTCCTTTCCTTGTAAACCACAAAGGACATATCACACCAATACTTCACAGGGATTTTTATAAAAGATTTTTACAATACTAGTCTATACGCACTAGTTGCTGTCCTTGATATGTTTGCATGATAATGCHGGATTGGTGATGGAGCCAAGAGGACCAGTTGGTGGTGGAAATGCTAAGAATTGAAAAAATTGTGAAAAAATGAATATAGAAAGAAATGACGGCGTTAATCAGCAGAGCAAATCTTACTTGTTGGTTTCAAAACGCTGATTTCTGCCCTTAGTTTTTCAATTTCTTTAAGYATTTCCTTTTTCATATCTGCACACTGTAAATATGTCCTTTTAAATCATTTGCTATCATTATCATCATTAGTATCATCATGCATATTTTATTATTCAAAATTGAATGTTATTATTAAATTAATTATTTTAAAAATTCTGACGTACACATTATCATTATTACCATCATCATTAGACAACTACATTTTAATCAGTAGTGCTATAATTATACTATCTAAATAATCACATTTACCTGAGAAGAGCAGCTACCCTCAGCTCCCTTTRGGCCGCGATCACCTTGTAAGCCAGGGAGTCCACGCGGTCCATCAGCACCAGACGCTCCTTGAAGTCCTTGATCACCTTTAGATCCCATTGACCCTTTAATTCCTGTCGGCCCTCTGGGACCAATTGACCCTTTTGGCCCTTGGGGTCCTGTAACACCATGAGGACCTTTAGGGCCTTTAGGTCCCTGTGGACCTTGTTGTCCGTTATGTCCAGGGATTCCTTTATCACCTTTGACCCCTAAAAACAGGTTTGCCAACAAACCACTACTAAAGCTATTGATARCGCATTATGTACTACATTTAAAATATGAAAATGTTCATTTAGATATCTGCATATATTTTCCTGCTTACTTCCCCCATTTTTCCCATTTCTATTTCTATTATTGGCTTTCTCCCCGTTTGATGGCTATCTCTCTAGACAAAGCTCGCTCCTTAGTTAAGTATGCTTATGGTGCACTAGTTGAGCAGGCGTCCTTTAAATACCGAATTGTGGATTATAAACCGATAATAAACAGTAATCACGCACGTAATATATTTTTTACTGACCAATATCGCCTTTGGGACCTTCTCTTCCTTGGGGACCAACTGGACCAATGGCTCCTCTTTCCCCTTTATGACCTGATGGTCCTGCAAGACCGCGTAGTCCTTCATCCCCCTTARGTCCACTAGCTCCAAGCTCGCCTTTCCTCCCATCAGCGCCATCCTTTCCAGGAGAGCCTGGTTTTCCAGGAGATCCAGRAAYACCTCGTACGCCTGGATCTCCCTTTTTGCCTTCCTGWCCYCTTGGACCTTCYAGCCCTTGATCACCTTTTGGSCCWTGAGGACCACTTGCGCCTTTATCGCCCTAAAATATACTGTATACGTGACGACTGACACAAAATTAGATAGAATAAAGWAGAAAGAAATGGTTGAAAGGAAATGAAAAGTGTAAGGRAAAAAAAACGAGATGATGGACTTGTAGAGTGAATTATGGCGAGCTTTCCGGAGTTCCCTTTACGTCCCTACTTGAACTCCAATGCAARAAGCGCCRCTGACGATACTTTGTCAAGAAGAGAAGGTGAACTGAATAACTTACTTTTACACCATTTGGACCATTACATTCAACTTTGGAGCAAGGACAGTCACCTAAAATGGGCGCAGGTTCTATGGACTAGAGACAGAAATGTTAAAGTGAATGAGAAGGTAGTAACCGTTTTTGTCAGTAGACAAATTTAGATCTGAGCTACTAATGTGCACATTCACTTGCCATCGTACTCCACAACATGCTGGATCACTAAGCTTCTGCGCACCATCACTATGCTGAAACTTATCCAAACAGTTGTTCAAACGGCAAAAATATCGGACGACTCCTTTAGTTAGGAACGTAACGCCTAATTCTGGACGTAGTACAAGGTTTTTTTTCAGCTAGCTGATCAATCCAGTATGAAATGATACTGGTTGTAGGTTCCAAMTTCTAGTGAAGATCACCTACCAGTAACCTAGGCTCATAAAAACTGTTCTTTGCTGCTTSTATTTCCTTGGTTAGAAACCCTAGACAACTGATGAGTGCAAAACAGACTAGGAAAAGCTTGGAGGGCAGAAGTTTAGACATTATACAGCCTCACATACAAAGTCCYAACAAAAATAACTCTTGTCATGAAATGATTTCAGTTGTTCTGTGGCATCCATAAATTAGCACATGTATTTGAACTAGAGCCATTAGGTAAACAACTTTACTGCTAGAAAATGGACGTATTTGCTCTACAATGTATTGTGTCTACAAGATTAAGACAAGAGTRAAATAGTTCCAGTACCAAAGGAGAGAGAGTATTCACGTTTTCTGCCACAATGACCCATCATTTAGTGCGAGGTCATTAAGCACTTGAAACAAAATTGGACTATTAAGTGTAATAGTCAGATACACATCGAGTGGAATAGATAGAGCAAACGCAGGAAAACCATGAAATAATAACACAATAAAGATGAATTAAAAAAATGGTCCCATGTGGATTAGTCTTCATTGTGTTCTTGTTCATTGATACTGATAAATTGTCTCTAAATAGTTAGTATTTAGTTTGATTTTATTTCATAGTTTTCCTGCATTTGCTCTATTACACCAATACAAATCCATACACTCTAATTGCATTGTCTTCTTTTGTGCTTATTTGACTATCACATCTTATTAGTCAAATGTTCTCTGACAGGTTTAAGGATAACTACAATGCAATTAGAGCATACTATTTTTTCATGTTTTTTTTTTTTTACTTCACTCTAATTGATTATTGCTCAACTACCCGAAAAAAAATCTAAGGTACCCAAAATGCATAATAAAACAATGACTTAACTATACAGCACTTTATTGCAATTCACAATATTTCTGCAGTACTAAATACAGTTAGCATGAATAATTTCAAGGGGCATTAGAGTTKGGTCCCTTCCTGCGGCCAAATGATGGGACAACATTGACAAATCTTCTGTTGTACTGCATTCTGCGCTTAGCACGTCCAGTCTTCTTCTTCTTTTTCTCTTGAGCGTCAACCTTAAATGACATTCATATCCATAATTAACAAGAGAATGATGGATATGTCTGTTCATGAAAAAACGAGAGAAAAAAACACGTAGAGCATTGCGTTATGGGAGATAAGTGGGCTTGAGGCTACTAAGAATATTCCTCAAATATTCATCCTTTGGCAAGATAGTCAAGATAGAAGCAGAAATGTGAAAACAACCACAGTTTTTAAGGTCATGTATTGGTATACTTATGCCAGATGATTTTTGKAATCATTTCATTGTGTCAAAAGCCTGTTAGACTAAGAGAGAGTGGTACATCTTGGGATAGTAAGTATAACTGTAATTTTTTTACATTAAACTTTTTTCCACATTAAATTAWAGTTGAATATGTTGTCATATGTCAATGTCATATGTGCCAAATTCATGTCATATGTGAATCAATTAGGAAGACATGAGATTGTGATTATAAAAAGCTATTTACCTTTGGTGTTTGTGACTTAACTTTTCCTGCACGAGCTAAGGAGCCATGAACCTTACCTGAAGATAATTTGAAATATCATGTGAGTTTTTAAATGCCTTAAAATGCATTAATCAAAAATATATTATGGAAGCATTATACACAATGTGACTTGATGTATTGACAAACACAATAGAAATACGATATGTAGGAAACTCTACAACACGATTTGTAGTGCCTACAACTTGTCCAAAGATTTTGAACCTGGGCAATGACTCCTTCATGTCAAATAGCACACAACAAGTGAAATAATGTCAATTAGCCTTTTTGGAGAAATATGGTGATGGTCATATTTCACCAGAAACTCATAAGGGGATTGAAACGTGTAGCACGGTCAGATGCTCCGGAATATTCAAAATGATTAGCATAATTTTGTTACCATATTTGGGCCAAACATTTGAGTTTGAGATGAAAACAAAATGGCGGACAGACGGCGGCAAAAAGTTGTGTCGTTTTAGATGGTTCTAAAATGTAGCTAAAATGCTCAAAAGAGCTGAAAATCGTACAAAATCAACTGATTACCATCCAAAGGACACGGAATGAGGTATATCATTGTTCCAAATATGGTTGTAAAATGACTTCAGTTGATTTATGGGCGTTTTGAATATTACGGAGCATCAAACCAAAGAAATGATACACGTTTCAATCCCCTTATGAGTTTCTGATTTCACTTCATAAGAAAACAGTCCTTGCTCTAATTTCATAGTATATCAAACACATCAAAACAATGAAAACATAAAATGGATCAAATATTGATATGAATTATTTTTTGTGATAATTGCACTATGAATTACGAGAAATGAAACACTTTATTTTCAACATTTCATAGGAATTTTAAAATTTTGAAAATGACTATCAATCACTTTACCTCCAAGAAGACGGACAGTGAGATCCAATGTAGCCTGATCGAYAATCTCACACTCCTCGATGCTAAGTTCATTCTCTAAAGGTCGTCCAGCGTACAACAAAACTTGATCATTAACATCAATCCCCTCTCGCAAAGCGAGTTCATTCTTCACACTCAAGATGGAGTCTGAACCATCGATGGTTAGATTATGGAGGTTTTGTCCGCGAATAAACAACTGCATGACGGCAATTCTACAATAGAAATACACTTTAATGTCTTATCTTTCAATAAGGGKTGCTTAAATGAGTTCAAAAGCGAGATAAATAGTTTATTTTTGCGACTTTTTTTAGCCTACCTTGGAAAATTACACGTGCTGGTGCAATCAGATTGAAGAGGAAGGCTTGGAACGACTGCGCAGGCTTTGTGCGCCGCGAAATGACTTCTGGGAAATTTGAGCCTTCATCAAAATGCTAAGCGGTAAATCGCAAGAAAACAAAATGGCGCGCATGTTGGGAAGTTGCAGAAGTTTGTGGAGCGTTTTCGAGTTTAGAAATGCTGTTTTATGCGCACGAAATGGAACAGTGACATTGCAAACTCATGTGAGTGTTTATTTACATAAAGTTTTGCTAATGTGCTTATTGATTTTTGTTTAATATTGAATGTTCTCTTCTAGCAAAAGCACGATTTGACAGATAAAATTCAAAATATCAGCATAGATCCGGAACGACTTAAAGAAATTGATGAATCACCAAGTGGATGGGTTCCGCCCTCAGGTAAATGTGGTGGTATTATATAATGATTTGAAAAATTGTTTTATTATGGTCATATCTGATGGTGTGTTTTGGGCTTTCTGTGCTTTTGTGATTAGATCTACAGTGATAAAACTTTGTGAAACAAATTTCTATGCTTTTTAATGTGAAATACGCTGCCGTTTTTAAATACTGATATGAATAGCTCTTCAGATCCTGAACATTCAGTTCAGTTCAGTTTAGTTYATTGCACTTTTCTTTTTCAATTATTTCTTGTTTACAATTTCGTATAATGAAAAGGAAAAAGATAAACAGAAATCATTACTTTAGACACTAAATGGGTAGTGCGTGAGGGCCAGAGTAGCAGCGTTTTGAGCTGGCCCCCATCACGCAAAGAATAGTAATTATATTTTACAGCCTACTTACATAAAGAAATAATTTAACATTTGTATATTTAGAGAAGAAGATGTGAAATATTCAAAGGTGTTATGCCACCATACTAGTACTCATTTGTTCTTTCATTTCATCCRTTCATCCATTTGTTCAGTTTTACACTTACTCACTTTGTTTTGTTTTTCATTCTGCAGAAAAAGTACCTGATCTTCCATTTTCAATCAGGAGATCTAAAATGAATAATCTTCCAGTATATACAGACTTCAAAGGTGGAGGAACAAGACATATCACCATTATTAGAAGGATTAAAGGGGATCTCAAAGTGAGTTTATCAGAGGTTGATATTTTTATAGTCACCATGTTAAAAACAAAGCTCTTTTAATGCTTACTCTTTCAGGCAGTTGAAGAATTATTAAGAGCTAAACTTGATAAAGATCTCATTATTCAGCTGAATGAATTAACAGGACAAGTCAAGATTAAAGGCAATCACAAGGACAAAGTTGTAACACTGATGAAAGAGCTAGGATTTTAAATTGTAAAAGAATTTTGTTTGTGAATAAAAACTCAGTTATGAAGAGTTTGAACATGAATACATCACATGATGATGACGGCATTATAGATGATCCATAATGCTCCTGTGTCCCATTTTTTCACTTTTTAATGATGGCCATGACATCAGTACACATGTTCACGTATATTTTAATAGTAAAGGGTCATGTCCATAAGAACTTTTTGCATGATTTTTCTCACGTGACTTGAATCATCCTATGTGATTTTGAACTAATAAAAGCACCTTTCAGCAGAAGATCATTTGTAAAATTAAAGAAAAGATCGCAAAGGCTCTCAAATTATCAACAAATCTCGAAGAGAATTTGTTATGATCGGGCTACCTGTGTATATGCCTGCGCTAGACAAGTCAGCAGTTTCACTTCGAAGATTACGCAAAACAGAAAATAGTGAACTACAGTTCCCTGTAAAATATTTCGATATTATCACAATTTTCCTCGTTTTAAACGAARACATATTGTACAGATGGTTTGTGAAAAGTGTAAGTATTAAATGTATATCGTAAAAAACTACAATAAGCCTTTCAATACAYCGAATTTGTTAGAGTTTTATGAAGATGTCTGCAGTTGTTCTTRGATGCAAAAARRAGAAAGTTCTAATTGATTTGACTAGAATACAATTTTAATATAAACTCGTCACGTTCACTTTTCAAGGTCAAAAGAAACTTGGGAAGGTTATYTGTCCAGATCCGTGGAAAAGTGGAGCTACAAACATTACAGGTACAGTAAGTTAAGGCCAGTCAGTGAATGCTTTTTATGGTAAACGTTGCTGTCATAAAATTTAGTTAATTCCATTGTATAAATATTGTAGAGGGAGGCGGAAGAAAGCTAAATGAAAACAAACTATTAACACAGAAGAAAAACAGGTGAGTATGCTCATCAATTTTCTGCACTTGGGTCCACTTGAGTTTTGAGCATTTTATGCAGGGGTTTCATTAGATTTGAGAACAGGTTGCTGTTCTGAAAAAGTTAGTATTGTTATTGTGAAGTAACTGTTGTGAATCATAAGGAGCCAAAAGCATTACATCTGTAATTAGGAAAAAGTAGCTGAACCAAAGGTCAAAATAGACGCCAGAGTTGGACAGTTGCTGAGTTCTAATGAAATCCCTGTTTATGGCATCAAGAGTGTGTCAATGTATAAGATGCAACTTAAAGCGTAGTCAATTTGTTAATGTGGTCTATAATTAAATATGCTCTTATATTGTCATCATATATCTTTTAGATTTTCGCCATACTCAGAGTTTAAGAAGTGCAAAATATGTAAAGACACTGTACACCAAAAACATTCACATTATTGTCAAGGTATGTCTGTGATATAGTGAAACATGTCAAATTATTCAAACTAACAACATGTTTTGCCTTAACTACCAACAGGTTGTGCATATAAGAAAGGAATTTGTGCCATGTGTGGGAAAAAAGTACTGGACACTTCAAAATACAGACAATCATCAGCATGAAGGAAAGAAGAAAATTGTATTTACTTGTACATAAGACTGTAACTTTTCAGAATATTGAAACTACTAAGACATGTATTGATGATGATTTCATTGATATGGGTTTCATGATTTAAAGACAATTTTGACTAATCATGAATTAAAACTAAGTGTACAATTATTTCAACATGATTGAAAGATGATAAGAAATTATCCCATAGATACTTGAACATCA